TGGGAAAAAGGAGATAAGCGAAAATACTACGAGACCACAAATGATATGGCGAGAATGAGGAGGAAGAAAATGTGCTTCGTCAGAATGTTGGTCAATTAAGCGTCATCATCCTTACATATTCCCAGAAGGTAGTCTGGAAAACTGTCTGATGACACAGCGGGGGAGAGTGATCACTAAATAATGTCAAATGATCACTATAGACAGAGGGACGCGTCACCTGTCTTACCACACTGTACCCCTCATAATTTGGTGTTTGACTGATGTAGTGTTAGAAAGCCTCTTGATAATTTTATTAATCTTGTTCTCTTCTTTCTCGTCTCTATTTTCCTAAAGGTAATAATCATAATCTCAATCGTATATTAAGTCGCCATCGTCATCATTGTCGTTGTTATCATCATCACCATTGTTATCATTACAATAGTTGTCTTCTACGTCGTCAAAATTATTTTGTCAACACTTTCACGGTCTTCGTTCACTTTTCATATGTAAGCGGCGTTGCATGATACCCGCTATTAGGGGGACTTTGCCATTGGAGGGGGCAGTGGTATGAGGAGGAAGAAATTTGAGTGTTCAAAGAGATGTAGTCGGGGAGGGGGGGTGGTCTTATTTGCGCTTCTCTTTCCTCCTATCCCTTTTTTTTTGTATCTTTCTCTCTTTTGCTCCTTTTGTATGTAGGTTTGTTTTTGCTTGTTTTACATGAGTGCTACGAAAGCATGACTGTGTATGCTCGTTAATAAGCAACCAGAGGACCGACGGCTTTAAGTCCACTCCGATAGACTTGGTTTCGAACTCGGGACCTCCCGATTATGAGACCACTGCTCTACCACTGAGCCCCCGTAGCTTTGCCATTTAGTTTGTAATTTTACTGCTTTTATTGTCTCCGCTCCCTTTTTTTGTTAAAAATCTTTCTTCCTTTTATAACGATTTACCTCTTACAATTCACATTCATCTCTTTATTCACCCTTCTCTCTTATCTCTTCTTGTTTCTTCTCTCCTGTCTCTACTGAAGACTTTTCACAAAAGCTTCAGGGGGAAATATTAGCCCCCTCCCTTTCCCTTGTCGTTTAATCTCAGAAACAACCACACTATGACAAGTATCACATGAAAATGTCAAGACTTTGCTTCGTCATCCAACATTCGTTTATCCCGAGGTTTTAATTCCAGTTTTATCATCGCCATCGTTAATTTGAGGTGTCTATGATGCCTAGCAACCAAGCAACATTATTCTAGATTTAAGCCATTTTCCAGCTTTCGTTTTGAAGTGTTTTGGCCTCACGAGAAGGCTAATTTTCGGGTGTGCCGAAATAGTACATGTATTACCACCAAGCCCTTTCTAGAGAGCTTAATGTTTTAAATACTTTTTGTCGATAATTGATAACATACATTTTGTTTACTTATTGTACATGTATATACTCAGATCCATTCCCTATGGTCGCATTATGTAATTTGAACACACTTTCTACCCCGCACTCCAAGTCGTAATATAATTTAAGTTGACATAGGTTTTGTAGGAATTGTTTTTTTGTCAAGCTATCGCACCTTTTAATCTTTTTAAGAGTTTAATTGTAATTGTTCACTTAACTTCATTAAAATTAATTATTTTTAGTGAATTCCACAAGTATTTATATCTGAGTACGAAGAACGAAAATCGTATGAGCTGCAACAGCCACCCCTAAACAAAATTGAAAATTTATTCCCAAAAAAAAGTAGAAAAAAAAAAAAAATCGTCGTCAATTTTGTATTATTTTGTTCAACTCAAAAGGTTGATATTCTTGCAAGGAACGTCAGCCCAGGCAAAATTGTGGTTATACGTTTAAAACCTAGACCAGAGTGATAAACAATAAAAAATTATAATTAAACCTCTTAGATTTGTGCATAAAAATTATGTATGATATATAAATGTTAATATGACAAGTGTAACATATCTCCAAAAAAAATTGCGATTGGAATGAAATTAGGCAATTAGTTGATTTGATTATTAGCATAATGGTCGATTTTATTGTGAATAAGTAATGCAGATTTACATTTTCTCAGGGAAAACCCCCTGGTAATAATACCATGGACCATACAGTTAGGTCTATGATGAAGCAAACTTAAACAAGGTGAATTTTGAGGTAGAGATATTTATCTCTGTAGATGGGAAGATATCGTCACATTCTAGCGGCACACCTACCATGCCCAGGGAACTACCGAATGAAACATCCTTCCACCATCTCCTCTAGACCAAAACACCGGCCCTTGAACCAAGCGCATATAGGAACATGGGATAACTAGTACATGTACAGAAGGGTGAAAAGCACTAAAACAGAAACATGTGATAGGGGTCGGGAAGAAGGGAGTAATTTGAGGGGGTGGGGTTAGGTAGGATGAGAAGAAGATGGAGAAGAGGAGACGCGACGAGCTAGAGATGGGTGATTGGGTGTGAATGGGAGCTGGAGGATGACATAATGAGTGTTAACAAATGGATTAAGATGAAACTGAAGAGGGAAATATGAAGAGGTGGGATAAAAAAATAAAAAAAGAGATGATGATATGTACTGTAGTAGCCGAAATTGAGAAAATAAAAAAAGTGAAGGAGAACATAGAGAATGCGAGAAAGGGGAGGTTACGAAGGAGAGAGGGCATTAGCGATAATTCAAATGGGATTAAGAGAAGAATATTTTGTTATGGCCCTTTTCCTCGAAGGCAAGTGGCCTAAATTTGTATCCACGTTCCTTTGATTCAACTTCAAGCTTCATTAGAAATCACTCTTCACGTGAAACAGAAGAGTTCTTCCTGAACCGGTGGTCACGAAAATCATCCAACGATGATGGAAAACACCATAAAAACCAACAACAACAACAACAACAACAACAAGAAGAAAGAACAGGTTTGACTGTATATACGCACGGCAATGGGGTGAGGAAGACAATATTGTATTGTTAATATAGTTCATAGATGGAGATTATCAAAACACGGTTGCTTGGTCATGACGTTATGGCTATTAATCACACATGGTTTATGACAAAATTATAAAACGATTTTTTTTTTTATTTCTCTTTTCTTCTTCAAAAAGCTTAGTCACGATTCTATGAGTATTAAACTCACCGAATCATCCTGTATGTGACGTAGAGGTCGAAAAATGAATGTATGAGTCACGTGTCGAATGAAAGACAACACGCACAGTATAATAGCGAATAATACAATAGGTAAGAGAATGACTAAAAATAGTAGATCTTTGTTGTGAATCACTGATTAAATGAATTTCTTTTAAATTGCATCTACATATTTTTAAACATAATAATAAAAATGATAATAATTATTATAGTCTGGACTTATATAGCGCTTAACTTTTCTATCGCTTTCCAGGTATTATGAAGTTGACTCGAACTCAAATAGTCCAAATTATGAGGGTTTATTATCCTATGACTTACCGAACAAAACTTGTATTGTAATGGCTGCATGATACTCGGCTCTTCTTTATTCTTAAAGTTATTTTTAAATGTTCCACTGGACAAGCTGGATGTTATAAATTATTTTAACAACCGTCTGGTCAGCAGAGGTCAATGCTTAAAAACAAGGAGGGGTAAAACGAATCGTTTCCTTGACCAATCACTCGACCGCCGGTCAATTTCAAGGCTCGTCGACATTGTGGTTGATGACGAGTGCACTTGAAACAAAAATTGTATACATTTCTAAAATACAAGGTTGATACCTATAACCTATACTGCTATGTGAGCTTATTCAGTCTATAAAGTTTAACTTTAGATCCTTCCGTTGAAAAACGATGATAAGCTCTATGATAGGCCTACATGCATATCCTAGTTTTGTGCATTTTAGCGGTTAATATACACATCATCATCATCGTGGTCGTCGTGGTCGTCATCATCATCATCATCGTCATTAACGTCATCATCATCATCTTCCTCCTCGTTCTCATCATCATCCTCATCACCATCCTCATCACCAACCTCCTCATCACCATCCTCATCATCATTGTCATCATCATCATCATCATAATCATCATCGTTGTGGTCGTGTTCGTTATCATCACTATCGTCATTTTAATCGTCATCTCCTCCTTCTCATCATCATCATCATCGTCGTGACCATTATCATCATCATCTGTTTCTTCTCTGATTTTATATTCTAAACAAGAGAGTATTAGAGGTATATTTAAAACAACTTCAAGTTTGAATAATTGACTGAATTGCGCAAAACTCTTTATGCTAGAACGATACACCAAATTATAACAAATTAAATACCCCTTTTGGGCATTTCTCTGTATTTGTTTTCTTTTACTTTGATCGATGAATGACCAAAGACAAAAGTTCCTGCTTTAAAAAAAAAATCGTTCAAAAAATAATAGCTTGCATTATTTGTTTTCCTGCCCATAGATGAACTTTCATTGCCGAAAACAATGTTAAATAATAAATCATAACACTTTCTTGGGAATTGACGGTTTCTAAACTCATTTATCAACAAATCATAAATGGAAGTACCGTGATAAGAATCTGGAAAGAATGAATTTCCAGATTGTTTTTAAATACTTTCGATCAAAGTTTATGTTAACATGTACTAATATGTAATTTTCGGTTGACTCAATCAATTAATATTAGTCATTCTGCCGGGAGAAAGTCGAAAAGGACGTGCGAGTATACAGAGAGAAAAAACACGGGAAATATGAATTAACGATTTGAGATTGATTATACAACTGTTTAAAGAAAACTGAACTTCATTAACTGGAGAAAAAAGAGGAGGGCAATAAAAGGAGTGGAGAAAAGAACAGGAGTGGAGAGGGGGAGGAAAGAGAGAGAAAGAGAGACAGAGAGAGACAGAGGGAGACAGAGGGAGAGAGAAAGAAGGATAAATTAACAAAAAGTGGAAATGATAAAAATAAATGATATAACCAGGAAATTAGTAAAGCCTCGTAATTACAATGCAACAAAGAAATACAGATGCAGTCATCAAATCAATATAACATAATAAAACAAAATGCGCAGAAATTCTATTTTATTTAATTTTGTTCAGGTTTATTTTATTTACAACATGCGCATCATACGATCTTCTCATGTATTATACAACCTTGTAAAAAGCTCATAAATTCAGGAATTAAAACATAAAATACAAATCAAACAATATAAAAGTATTAGACTTAAAAATGAGGTAAACATGGAAGAAATATGAGGTATATTGAAGGCAATGTCTTAAACTAATCATGGAAATAAAATTTTCGATGGAGAAAATATTTCTTGAAATTTCAGAATAGGCAGTGCAGCATATTATATGAATGATGGCAACAAACAAAAATACTTTATGAACTAAACGCTATCTCTATTCAAAACTACACAAAGTTGAAAGGAGGCTAAAATTATTTGTTATAATATGCAGAAGATACAATTGAAACGAGTCGACCATGAAACGAAACGTGAACATTATGACGTGAAAAACCTACTTTGTAAAAACCTACTATAGAGGGCGTCTGAGTTTAATGCGCTATGGAATTCAATTCAATTCAACTCAATTTATTTCGCAATATAAAAACCAAAGTATACAAAGTAAAAGTAAATGTTAACTATATTTACAAAGGTTATATGCGGGGCTTTCCATGCAGGTTGCGAAAACCTGCATGTGAAGTTGGATCGCCCATTACATAATGAAAAACAAACTAAAAAATATTATAAGCACACAACAATAAATTAAGTAAAATAAGCAAATACAGACACTTTAACTATCTTTAAGACGAAAAAGTAAAATAAAAAATATATAAAAAAAGGGAAAAGAAAACAACAATGCAAGGGGGTCCAGATAGAAGAAAAAATATATAAGAATCTAATAATTATTTTTCAAATTATATCGTCATCATTATTATTGTTATCAGTATTATAATTATGATTTTTATTTATTCAGTTTGATTTAACTATCTGGTTGTGGATAGAGGTCGCAGTTTTGCCAAATAAAACAGTGTGTTCCTGAAAAGTAAAAGTAAAATTTCTTAAGCAATATCTCAAAGAAACACATTTTGTTTACCAAAATCAATAAGACAATTTATTTCTCTTTCGGGTGATACCACGTGAGAGACTCCTAAATAATTCACCTGTAGAAAACATCATAAAAATTGATTTGCTATAAACGGGAGTGGGCCTTATTGAACAACACAAAATGCACACAAATTGTCAGTCATGGAATCTCTTTTGACTCTTATTTTGCTTTATAAAAAAAACATATGCAAATCTACTTATTTATATTGAGAATTTCATGATTCATATTTCTGGTGATTGATAGAGAATTTCGGCTTTTCTTTTTCAGAAACGCAAAGTACCTATACACTGCTTCAGGGAACAAAGTTATTACAACTAGTTTAGAAACTTTCACAGCATACTATTCTTATGAATAAACATTTATGGCAGTTCAACATTTAAGTATGTAAATACGGAGCACACTATTGCGATGATGTAAAACGTAGTATATTGTTTTTACATCCATTTCTAAAATACTAAATATTCAATTTTTATGAACATGTCAGCTACGCGGACTACGCATATTTACAATACACAGCAAAGACAGTGAATCAATTAATTTACATTTATTTACAATACAGATGCAGCAAAGAGAAAGCTTCATATTTACAATCGAAACGGCAGAAACATTTGCGAGGAGTTAAATGTTGGGGACGAAATGGTACAAAAAGGGAAAAAGAAGAGAAGAAATAGAAGATAAAGCAAATCAAGAACTCTAAAGAGGGATGAAGGGGGAGGAAGGAAAGGAGAGACGGGAGGGTGGAGTGTGAGAGAGAGAGAGAGAGCTAAAAAGAAAAGAAAAGGAGTAAATAAGAAATATAGATATTAGGAAACTTGAAATTCATGTATAGACAAACGATGAAAAAAATCCATACAAGGAGATAAATATATATGGCTGAACGACAAAAAACTATAAAGATACATTCTATAAGAGACATACATGATCCATAGATAGACTAGAAAAGGCATATAGGCTACAGAGAGATTGAAAGAGAAAAAAGCTGAACAAAAACAATTCCAAACAAAAAAACGTAGGGAGCAGATGAGCGTTGCGAGGGGTCTGCCAGTATGCATTGTAACTATCATTCATGCAAATTAATTTGCCATTCTCTATTCTATTTCTAAATTTAATTCCCCAATGTCTATGCCTCGCCATCCCTCTCGACGACGGCCTCTTCCTTATTCGACCTCCCTTCGCCATCACGCCCGTCACCGTCCGTCGACACCTGAGGATCCTCCACATCTTCGATCTCCGTCACGATCGTAGTTTCGATGTCGTAGATCTCCGTCGTAACATCCTCAACTTCGTTATTGACTTGTTCTATCGGATTCGATCTCTGACGCAACGACCGACCCGTATTGTTGACCTGATCGAGTGGAACGGCGATTGGTTCGACGATATCGAGGAATGTTGTGTGGTCGATAGATCCAGACTCCTCACCACTGTTTGCTGTTTCCACTAAAGACATAAAGATAAGAAAACGAATGTAAATTCAAATCAAATCAAACCAAATCAAATTAAATCAAACCAAATCAAATCTAATAATGACAAATGGGATGCTTAGAATGCAGTTTTAAACCCAAAGCTAGATATTAAAATCTTGAGCATTTGAAAATATATTTGATTGACGCTCACAAAAACGGATGAAAGTATAGTCTCGTTGAATCTAGATGGCGCTATTTATGATTGATATTTTACTAAGAAAGCTAGAGTAAGAAAATAAAATAGGAGAAACAGAAATGATTGAGCGAACACAGGCGCGTACACAGGGGGGGGGGGGGGTTGGGGGTTGGGGGTTTGGGGGTTAACCCCCACCCCTTTGGTATTTTTGTGTGTGTAAACCCCCCCCCCCTTTGGATTTTTTTAAATTATTTTTTTAAAGCTGACCTTACCCCCCATCGGAGCAAAATGTCAAATTTTCAAATTTCGAGACCAAAAAAAAAAAAAAATAACCTCTTACCCCCCCCCCCCCGGCTTATTCAGCGGCTGGCTGAGTCGTTGCGAAATTTTCGACCCGATTTATAAATGTTAAACCCCCCCCCCCCCCCCCCCCCTCCCTTGAAAAAATCATGCATCAGCATACAGGGTTGTATTAAACATAGTTCAAGTATAAGGATGATAAGGCTAAGATCGTTACGACTATGTAGAGAGTATAAGGTCATGAACTTGTAAAACGATTTCAATCATTGCCCCAATGTAAAATAGTGACTCCTTTACTGTTGGGGCTACACAAGTAAAATGAAATAGATACAGATGGATAAAAGAGTAAAAGAATAATGAGAAGAATTCATTTATATCTTAGCTTTTTTTAAACCATGTACATGTATCATAGGGGGGAACCTGCATCTTTCCGTAAATATGTCAGTTTATTACATTTGTATGACTATAATAGCTGATGTCTCCTGCCTGCATGGGCGTCCTAAGAAAAAAACGATGAGCCCTATAATTTCAAGGCATAAGCCCGATAGATACAGATTTTTTTTTTTTTGAGGGGGAGGGGTGGGGGTACCTGAACATGCACCAATAGACACACATATTAGACTGTTCTCCGTCTTGTTTTTTCATTAATATTTTTGTTGTTCTTCTTCTCAATCTTCTATTTAAGTTGCCTACCGTTGCACGGGCTACGACGATCCACCTCAACATAAGTGTCGTTCGCACACATGTGGTTATGTAGGTGACACTGTGTCGGGTAGGTGACGCCGTCACTACCACAGACTGGACCGCTGAGCCACCGTTCTGGGCAGGTGATGTTACACATGACGCATCTTGGTTCCTCTTCGATGGGATCCATCACACATTGATTACCGCGAACACAGCTCAAAGCAGAACATGAAGTGAAATCTGGAGACAAAATTGACAAAGGAAATATTGAAGAACTCAAAACAAAAATACAAGTGAATTTCACATTGTCAAAAACAGCACCATTTATTATTATTATTATTTTTCACGTTTTGTACATTGGTACAGTCGGGAATAATGGGAGTCGCTAGCACATAATTATTGAATGGGGATAATGGTGATGGATAAAGATTGTCGATGTGTCGATAAGTCAGCTAGCTCCAATACCTTCCCCCACCAAAAAGCGCCCCCCCCCCCCTCAAAAAAAAGGAGAAAAGAATAGTTGAAAGGGACTTTAGTATTTAAATGTACCAACAAGTGTTTCATATTAGCGAACAGATGGTTCATTGAAATATTCTGGTACTATATCCCCCAAAGAATAGAGTTCTTTCATTTTCAATATAAGTACAAGTGCAAGAAAAGGTGCAATCCGGGTGGATTATGTTTGTGATCACCATTTTTAGTCGCCAGTCGACGAATACCGACGACGGCGACAATTTTTAAAAAGTGCATTCTTTCGTTGCCTGTGGCTACACGACAGAAAACTCACTTTCGCATCGTCCTTCGTGAGCGATGCCTACAGCCTTGCCGATGAGACAGGAGCTAAGTCGTAGATGGCACAGGGATTCGTAGGTAATCTGATCACGTCCGCACACGTATTGGGTATCGCGGAAATGATAGCGACACACCGCCCAGCAGAGAACGCAGTGAGGACGCCCCGCCTGGTCTTCGACGCAACGGCGCCCTCGTGGACACGTAACTCCATCACAGGAATCTGCCAGAGATAAGAAGACGAGATGGTTAGACATTTATCAGGTCAATGACGACATCGGTGATGATGGTGACGATCATGACAATAGTGAAGAGAGAGAGAGAGAGAGAGAGAGAGGGAGAGTGAGAGAGAGAGAGAGAGAGAGGGAGAGAGCGAGAGGGGGATCGAGATTGAAATAGCAGAGACAATGCAAAAATGGTGCGTGTTGAGTGGTGACGACCTCTTTCAAAATTTATTTGCACAAATTTATAATTGCTGTTGACATATTTAAACCTGTTTTGAGATATTTCGGTAAAGGAAAATAAATTCGTTTTTGGGGTCCCGATTGTTTTGGTCTTAAAAGCCTGAACATCTCAAGGCAAAATATAAAAATAAGAGGCCTTAATTCCTTTTCTTCTTGTTGGCAAATTCAATATTTGTCGGCCGAAATTTTCCAACAAGAACAAATGGTAAAAATAATGACTACAACAACGAAGACGACGATGATGATGATGATAATAAATGAAGAATTTATGATCTCACAATTAATATAAGCCAACAGGGGTAAAAACAGGTCCGCCTATTTTTCAATTTGCCGATAGATAAGTTCACCTAATAAGTAACATTGATTTTCTTTCTGTAATTCATTTTAAATTCTACAAAATTTTGAAATATTATAAACGAAGTAGCGGAAGCCTATTTATGATTATATATTATGAAAATGAACGAACGGTCCTATTAACTATTTGCGTGTCCAGTAAATAACTATTCTTTGATATACTTACAAGCATTTATGCTTTCTTAGCAGTCAGGGAAAATAACCACCACCATCAGAATAATAAGGTAGAGCCTGTTCTATTTTTTACGGATGACTTAACAAAGGGTAAGGCAAAGGCTTGAGTCGGGTTCGCCTAAGTCTTGTTATAAGTATTAGGGACTTTTACATTTGCACGTCGACATAGTAGACTGCTACGTGTGACGTCATTTTAAGTCACTGACGAAATGACGTCACACGTAGCAGTCCACTATGTCGACGTACAAATCTAAAAGTCCCTATTATTATCAGCGGTCTTACCCTGGCATTGCCCGTAATATGCCACCTCGACTTCGCTGGACTGTATACATCGCTCGGTCAGGAGCTCGCACACGGACCCGTACTCGTAGTTATCCGTCCCACATACGGCTCCTTCGTACTCGATGTTCTCGCAGTGGGGTTGGCAGACACAGCGGGTTCGGTTGTTGTGATCTATGATGCATTTCTGGTCATCACGACACTGCATCTCTTCACACGTTTCTGTTAGTATAATGTTGTTTAAAACAGTGTTAGAGCTATACTCTTTCTTGCTGTCTTTAAATGCCCACTGCACTACTTGTAACTACTTGCGCCCTCTACATAACAAACCATGCTTAATCGGTGACCATTGGTCCCCCATGATCCTCTTTTTCTTATGTTAACTGAGAGCTGAGTTGATGAGATAACCATGCAGGGCAGTATAATCCCTCCTGTAAACTACGGCAGATAAGCTTTAACACTTTGAATTTCGGCAATGAGTAAGTATTTTCGCCCAATATCTTCGAAACGGAAAACAAACAATGATTGTTTTACCTTAGTTTAACACAACATGTTGAGCTTCATATAAAAAAAACATAGCTGTTTCCATCAACTAAAATACTCATTCCTTTTAAACCTGCATTGGCAATTATCATTCCTTTTGAAATATATTCCGATCTCTTATGCAGGAAATTGTTTTACTTAATCCGGACATCGAGAAAGAATAGAGCAATCTAGCCGTATTAAAAAAAATCATTATCTATCTATTCCCATACTTGTATTTATAGTTTTTATATGGAAAAAAAAATATACTTGTACAAATTTCCCGTTTTTAAATAGCCACAAAAGTCAACATGTTTTCAATTCGTGTTGGGTAAACATTCAATTGAGAAGTTTGTATTAATCCAACAATGTTTTACATACAACATAAACATAATACAGATATACAGACATTTATATCCTAGTAACAACAATAGATCAAAGAAGAAATTAAATGGAACTAAAAGTATATAGAATAGAAAACATCAGCGATCGTCAAAATGCCCCCCCCCCCCCTCCCCACAAAAAAAAAGAATTTCAGTCAGCGTTCTATCATCTGCTTGGACTGCTTAAACGGGGTTATTTTCTAAAATTTCTGAAAGTAAGCGCCATTTTTCATTGTGCCTATCTCTTTTGTTGCGTCTATCGGCAATAAACCTTTCTACCGTCTGAAAACATAATGTACAAAATGATAAACGTCGGGCATGTTTTCTGTAATCCTACAACTAAAGATATAAATGATATTAAATTACATCAGTATTAGCAACATGTTATTACTGTATAATATTAAAGACGAGTATTGATTTACTTTACTAGGAGACTAACAAACTAGCATTCAATTTCAAGTTGATATGATATGTTAAGTGTTATCATACAAAATATTCATATAGATGTTTTATAATCTAAGATTAGATTAGATTATTATATAGTCTGGTAATCGGGATAAGTAGGGGGGTTTACATTGGTAAATTAGGATCATTTGAAGATTACAATGTAAAATAATATCACCATAAAACTTAAAACCGTTGAATAGTTAGGTTGCCTTGGTAGTCAAAACTAAGACATGTAGGTAGAGGGCGGTCTTTCTGTAAAATCAGACAAGCTCCAATACAGCTTTGCAATGCAAAATGTGTTACCTTTTGGTAAAATAGTTTTGACAATGTCACACAAATATTTTGTAATTTTTAAAACCATCCAGAACTTCATTACAGTGCAGTTTATCACAGATAGAGAGTTCCAATATAAATGGTTTATAATAAGTTAATTATATTTTAGTAGTATAAATCTAGTTTTTACCAACGACTATGAGAGTAACTGATATCTAAATTAGGTTCGATAATCGTGTTAGAAATTAGGGGGAGTTAGATTATGAATATAAAGTACACGAACAATACATGGGCTATACGACAATTGAGTCAACGTGTTACCTTCTACCTCGATGTTGTACCGCCATCTCGTGTTCTAAAAAGGAACATAGTTCTGATTTTTTTCTCTTATCCTCAAGTGAGGGTTTATTTCCATAATTTCAATACATATTTACATTAATTACTCAATGATTCAGTGAAACATAACATTTGCTGCCTAGTATCATTTTCTTTGCTAACATATTCATACCTTAAAAATAATATTAGCAACGGCTTGAATCTTTTTTTTAAAGTATGTGGGTAAAAAAACAGAACCATTGACAATCTTTTTAACGTAACAATTATAAATTGCACATTGCGCATAATTTAAAATAATATTCAGGAGAGTATATTTCTTGTTTTCTATGTCCTTACCTACTGACTAATTCTCCTGCTATTATTTCTATTGTTGCTAATTCTTCTTCTCCACTTCTTCCTCCTCCTCCCACTAAGTCACTCTTCATCTTACTCCTTAACCTCCTCTTTTTCCTTAAAAAAGTTCTCCTACCCCTCCTCCTCCTTCTCTTATATATATATATTTCTCACCAGATCCCTGCTCTTACCCTCTCTTCTCTGTGTCGCTTCCCCGGCTTGTCCCTTTCCATTTCTCCTTTTCTCCCATTACTTTATAATTTGAAATATTTGTTTATTTTCAGTATCAATTTGAAGTGAAATAGGTTGAAAGATTCTTCTTCATATCTAATTCAAATTTTTGTTTTATATCTCTTTCGGTGAATTTATTGTATTATTTTTATATTATTTTGAACAATGCACCTATGAAATCTATGAATGCATCAGTTTTTGGACTGTTTCACAAGAAATTTTCGTTCAATGAACGGATTAAAAAAAAAACCCTCCTCCTTCTCCACGTCCTTCAAACTACCCCAACTACTACTACTACTACTACTACTACTACTACTACTACTACTACTACTACTACTACTTCTACTACTAGTACTACTCCTACTACTATACTGCTACTATTACTACTTTTACTATTACTTCCACTACTGCTGCTGCTATGATGACACCCCTCATAGATCATTTCCTGTTCAACATGATCAAACGTAATTCTCCTAGAGCAGCAACATAATAATCCCTATCTTGTTTATTTTCTTTAAACAAAAAAAATGAAGATCTATGACGTAAGTCATACTGTTTCTTTGGAAATTGTAAAGGATCAACGCTAATTCAGAATTCCCGTTCTGAAAGACGATGTAATCCAAATCGTTGCTTGGTTCAAAAGCACATATTTGATAACGACGTCATTACACGAATATTGACGAGGTAAATACAGTGCATCTTTCTTAAAAACTGTCCATGCTCTAGACTCCTAACACACTCTGATTTAATCTTTATTTTTAGGAATTACGGACCTTCGTAATCGTGAACCTTATCTCAATTTCGGAATCATGAACCCCCTGCTAACGGAAACGTATGTTTCGAAATCAAGAACCTTCGCTTCGGAAAGATGAGTGACTCCCTCGCAGAAGAGATCCAGATGACTCTCTTGGTGGTATTCTCGAAAGCGGACTAACTTTAGTCAGTGGTTTAATCCTCCGACTAAGTATTGGAAGTCAAGTGTCTATATTAATATATTTTTGAATAATTTGAAATGTCCCTAAATTACCATGATAACATAATTATTTCATAGTTATATTGTTGTAATTAACTGCGTTATTACAAAATATTTCTTTAATGAAAACATTTTATTTTGATTTAGTGACAGATTATTTTTTTCAAAAACATATTCATATGGACACTTCGTCACACTTGGCATTCCATACTTAGTCGAAGGATTAAACCATGGACTAAAGTTAGTCCGCTTTCGAGAATACCACCCTCTGATTAGTATCATACATACCCTGTATAGAGAGGGTGGGGTTGGGTGGGTGAGGTGGTGGTCACGGTGCTATACATGAAGACGTGCACTTACCGGTCAATGACTCACCTCGGCACGGGATACATTCCGATAATGCAATTCTGGATGTTAACAATGTCCTCATGAGTTTACCCAGATCGAGATCTTCCCTCGACCAAGAGATCGTTGGCCCCTGGTTGTGACAGCATTCTTCTTTGGAGAGATGTAGCTTGATGAGCTGTGAACACGGGTTACCGTTCGGGGGTGAACTCCAGCACACGCCGCCTGAATGGAAGAGAGAAAGACGAGGGCGCCGGGAAAAGCGAAAACAAAAGAATTTAGATTTTAAATAGAAACGCCTTATAATGTTTTTTTTTTAACCATGATAGCGTCATGAATCTTACTCGAGTCCCGTCGCGGCACTAATGTCCTTTCGCAAAACATAAATGTACATTTACCACTCTCCACCCAGGTGAAGTAAATGGGTTCCCGGTAGTAAGAAATTCCTTGAATGCTTTAGCGGCTTAATTGCAGCCGGGTTTAATATGATACATTGTATTTAGCTTAGTAGAATATATATATATATATGCGCTTTATACGTGGATCTATCATTATTATTAGTAGTAGTAGCAGTAGTAGTATCGTTGCCAGCTAAATACACATGAGTTGTCAGTGGCTAACGTGGCTAAAACTCTGTGTCCAAAGATGTAAGCACTATAAAGCAAGGTTCGAATCCAATATCTCCCGTAGGAGATTCGAGAGCCTTCAACGAAACACTGCTTCGTTTCCATAAGGCGAAAAGGACTGGGATAGGAACTTATGCCTCCAACGATCGAAAAAGAAAGAAAGAAAACGATAGACCACTGGATGGGGCGCGACCTATAGGGCGTAACATATTAAATGGGCTGGGGAGTGTCGGGCCAAAATTTTAGACAAATTTCCCACACATATTCAAACAAGTATACAAACGAATATACTTTAAGATTCTCAGTAAAATAAGAGGTGTCGAATTTGATATTGGCCAATATCAAACTTAGAATGGGGGTAGGTGGCGAAACCCATAGGCCTCCCCTCAATCAGATGTTATGGTGTGCGTATAGGGTTAATGTTAGGCATTGCGTATGGTCCGGAGTTGAAGATAGGAATTCGGTTAATTAAAGATATTGACTGCGGAAGCGATGTCGCCGGAACAATTTGTTTACAATTACATCCAACTAAACAATCCTATCGAACTACAACTACAACCCTTCTATATATCTTTGTCTCCTAGGTGTTTACAACACAGTGGTTTATAGGAATCAATACAAGTTTCCCAACTAATAATGAGTCATTTTCAGTTACGTAAGGCTAAAATTACATTCATTTATTTTGTACTGTCCACAGGCTTGGCGCCGTGGTGTTGTTGATAACCTCCCAAAGTTTTTGCGTACTAGCGTCATGTCCATTTGGGATCAAAATGACAATTGAGTCATCAAGCAAAAGAATTCTTCCAAACTGTTTCATGAAACAGACGTACGGCCCGCATGATCTACAATCTCGGGGACATTCGGTAAAAATCATTTGAATGTTCAACAGACTGACAGCTATCGAAACCGATAAGCCGGTTTCACGGAACTATGACGAAATTTTCTTAAGGCTCTCAAGACATATTTCCAGTCTCTTAGGCTGTACTTTATTGGGATGCCCTGCGGAAGGCTCAGTTTAACATTAGTCATGTTAACATCTTCATACATAATTTCCTATGACTACGACTTAATATAGTAATACCTGTCACGCTGAATTTGTTTTGTATACTAGTGTATCCATGGAAACAGCGAGCAAAATGAAAAACAAAGAACCGATGAGTGACTGAAGATAATGTATCTATGTTTCTGCCAGACTGTCAGGGTCCTATCAGGAACATTACCGTCGAACATGAACATGGTTTCGAATAATGATGTTGATAGAAATACTTTAGAATACTGTAGTACTTGGGACAGTTTTCGGAACTGCTGTCGGGACAGATGTCGAGGATGTCGCCAGATAAGTGATCATCGAAACCTCTTCTGAAGACAGCCTTTTATTTTTGAAAGGAACTGATAGGTACCAAACATCCATGTTCAATTGGTCCTACGTCATTTTCTACAGCTTCACTTCTGGTATCAATTCTGAAAGTTTTAATCATTTTTATTCATGACAGGTTACCCGTCATGTATTCTTGTTAATTTTTTCAAACGAAAATGTGACAGAAAAGGTCATGAACAGAAAAGATCAAGATGTTAATTGGAAGAGTACATTCATCCACGAGGAACCCACGTTTCATCCTGTTCATTATTCATGTTGCATCCTGATCGATTCATTCTTTAAATGAGATGAACACGATATCTACCGTGCTTCGAAGACATTGGTCTGGTGAAGCAAACAGGTTGGAAGGTAACCATCTTGATTCGGGCGAAACAGGACCCTTTACATGTAATTAATTGGAACATCAAACTGATCCTAATTGTCATTATATTTACCTATTACTTATAATCATTCATAATTGTATTTCATCAGCTATCACATTTAGAAAAACCATGACATTCGCATCTATGGCTAAACAACACTTTGCCCGACGTGATCACTTATTAGTATGTTACTGATGAAAAATAATTTATTACCTTAGATCATAATTATGTTTTGAATAGTAAATAATTAATCTTAAATTGCTACTTATGTGAACGTTTTTTATTTATCTTTAAAATCATCTCATTTACATTACAACAGAATATTGATTTTTTTTTCTTCAAAATTGTTTCACGAACAGTTATGCGCGTTATATTTATAAATAGTAGAAACCTATCAAGCTGTTCTTCGGAGGAAAAGACACATTTTTTGAAAACTGTATGTACTTTGAATAGTCTGATTATTATTAGAAATATATTGCTGTTTGTAAAAACTGATTATTAACATCCCCCTGAGTATGCAACTGTTTTAAAGCAATACACCTATCATTGATTGATTTTTATTCGCCAAGCTTCCAACATACAACAATATACAATAATAAAAGATCAAAATTAAGTCAGCTTGAACAGGATAACCCACGAAAGCTCGAGAGCTTATTTCCAGTGGGATCCCCTACAGACATGTACAAAACTTTGACACAAACTTTGATATCTGTACAAAAATTTCAGACGAGAATTTGCTTTTTTTTACAACTGATTCTACTATGAAAATAAAATTGCGCTCGCCAACTCAATACCTAAATACTTCACATATTCTTTTGTCTTGATTACTTGATTACTTGATTATTATCATATTAAAACTTTTTAACGTGTTCATTTCTTTGATTATATGCTGCATTTTCAGTTTCATTATCATAAATTATGATAGTCCTTTGCGTATGATTATCAACACAGGGAATTGAAGAAAAAAAGTATTTTCAAGGTGATTCGAAGATAAACTCGTTTCTGTATCACTGAAAAAAAAAATATATATACCTCAACATAATGCTTTTTCATTCTTAAAGAAAAAGTTATATTTGACGTCTCTGAAATCAGAAACAAAACAGATATCCTTACTCTACATTATATTTTGATTTCTTTTAATTCCCCCCCCCCCCCATTTCGAATACAAAGTTTTAGTGATGCAGAGAATCAACGGATGTTCTAATGAAATATGATGCATTGTACCTAATTAATTTGCTCCGTTATTCGAAATTCATATTACATATGATCTGCTCATGTAGTCTACGAATCATTAGTTCTTCTACTTCAACTAATTCGCGTCATCCGTTATCTCAATGGTTAACAACCAAATTATCAGTACCCTTACCAAGTCGTTGTAATATGTTATGAATGTGAACAATAGATTTGCCCTGATTTATGTATCTTGAGAATGTGACATATTAAAGCTTACATCTAACAGAAAGTCAATAAAGGCCCATATTCCACTAGTCCACGTTTCATTCTTGAGTTACGAAAAACACAGAAAACATTAAATTAGGAGGGGTATGAATAATTTAGTTGTTATATCCCACTTTACATATTCCACGTTTCATATTAAAATAAAGTTGAATTAAACCAAAATATACGTACTACACATACTTATTTTACCATGTTTGAAAAAAGGAGATTTGATCGTGTAATCTTTATTATTGTGTAATTATTAGTGATGAATTTGGTGTAAATGCATTTGCTATTTTTGTTGCATGTGTACATAATGTAGCACTTTTGGCCAAACCTGTAATAATTTTCCTTTTGAAATTGATGTACATTAGAAATATCGTACATTTTCATCCTGCCTGCCTAGTATATTCCTTCCCCCTTTTTACGAAGTATTCTATCTTTTCTCATATTTATTCATTATCTTTATTACTCTTTCGTTTCGTATTTGATCTTTAACTAGAATATGCCAATAGACTATTTATTTTGCTTTAACAATATTTGCGACGGGATATTTACTCTCATGAACAATTGGACAAATCACTTATAATTTTTTTTATTACTTATGTATATTTACACATTATTAAATGAGAGTTATACATTAGTATGTATAAGGAAATTATTTAAGAAATTTGTTCAGAAAATAACTGTATATTTTTTAAAATCTAAATCAACATGATATAAAGATCATATTTCCAAATCCCATGAATTTACATGTATTTCTATAACGCATCATACCGTATATCAGACTAACTGAATTAATCATTTTAAAGGTGATATTTTGTAGGAAAAGTGAATAGAAATACATTTACAACTAACGTAGATATCTTCTAAATAGATAAATAAGCAGAGAAGAGCTTAAAAGAAAACATTCCAGATGTTCTGATGATGGTAAATATTGAAGAAAACAAAACGGATGTCATTTGAGGTAGAGATTGTACATGTGAAGAATAAAATTGTAACAAATCTTACCATCTGCTGACTGTAATCCAGAGAAAGTCCATAACGAGGAGATGATGAAAACTAATTGACAATACCGCTTCATTTCGTAAAGTTATCTCTTTCTCTGTCTCTAATCCGTTGAATCTAAATTCCCGATTTTTAATCCCGATCTATAGATTGAAGTATTTTTGTCGATGTTTTGAGAACGGCGTTAGATCTTTCCAAAAGAACAGCTATCAAGACAACCCAAGCAATTCTGAAATACAAGAGGAACTTGGCAAGTAATAATATCCAAGAGCTTTCACGTGGCGTAGTAGAAGATGAAATTCTGAATGGCGCTCAAAGTTGGCTCCGAGACTCTATAACATTGTCAAACATCGAGCGATACGTTGAGATGACGGTCAATAGACACTTAAAAGTCTGACAGTACACGAGATAAACCGACCAATCATAACCATTCCTTACTATCATTTCAACTTCAACTTCGTCTTGTCAATGGTTAAAGAATGATAAACAAAACTGACACGTGATGAGGCTACTGTCGTGCCGATCCCCCACACAGCGTTTTTTGTTTTGTTTTTGTTTTTTGCTTTCTGTATTATCTCACACCGCCAGTGTTCGTCTGCATATCTTTCCTCCCCTACCCACCCATCCTCTCGCTTCCTCTATCTCTCTCTTTCTTGTGTAACAGCTTAAATGTGCTACATAAAGAGACTATTGAGAGAATTTCAGAGAAACTTCTCTTTCTATTTCGTCATTATTGGTTACAAGTTTCCTACCAGACTAGCAGTGATGACAGAATCAATAGGTTGATTACGTCGGTCGACTGCATCTGAGATCTTAATCATTCCCTACACATTTCCCTTTCGGTCATTAAAACATTCCCTCTCTGCAAATCTCCCTGCTCTCTGCCAGTATACACAACACTACCTATCCCCCTCTCTCCCACCATCTCTCTTAAAACACCCACACACATAAAGTACCATCAACCCACCCACCCACCCTCGTCCCACACACATCCATTTCTCTGTCGCTTTCTCTCTCTCTCTCTCCTTCTCCCCTCTCTCATTCTATATAACCCCCTTTCTTTTGTTCTATACTTTTGTTATGTTACCTGCCTTATTTCGCATTCTCCTCTTCATTAGACTTGCTATGCACGGACCCCCCTCACCCCCAAAAAACATCTCTGCAACCAATTAACGAACATATTTGCTTCTTGTGCATTAAGAGAGGAAATAGTCTTTCAAACAACGATATCATCTCTGTATTCCACTCATTTTAGGCCTACTCTTTCGGTCTAGCTTTTTCAGCTTTTTCTCGATCCTTTCGAAAAGGTTTGCACTTTCGATAAAAGCAATGTTCAAATTTTGTCCATACGTACAACTCCCTCACTTTCCGTCAAGTTAGCATTCATTTGATACACACAGTCATGTAGGACTCCATATACCTTTAAATGGCTACTATCACATTTTATTGGTCTATGACCCGACACAAGATATAGAATTCTGGACATGTTCCAAACTGTTAATGGCCCGCCCTGCTCATATAATTGGAAGACCTTAGTCCCTATACGAGCTAACTGGAATCTCAAATACTAGACATGTATGCAAAGTATGTACATAAATCACCGCTGCTTTTATCATTCATACTCAACGGTCAATGGCCCGAACTATTTTCTTTGATTATCTTTGGGATATTCATGTTAAAAATGTGATTCGATATTTTATTCAAATAATAAAAGTCAAATTTGTATAACGCATAATACTATGTTTCCGAGCGATTTACATTGTAATTATTATTACCCCAGTCATTGGATTCAATTGCTAATCCGTACATGACAGCGCATACACTCCGACCCCCTGAAAGTATTCCGGCCAGGCGCCATTTTAAATGCACACACGGGTACCCATTTAACTCCAGGATGGAGATCGACGTATGTAGATTAATGTCTTGCCGAAGGAACCCCAACTGCAAACCATTTGATCCACAGTCCGGACACAACACCTGCGCCATGTCATTGTTTCGCATCAAGTTCTTATTTTTTCCTGATATTATTGATTCATATTTATATTTCGGGTAGACGTACATGTACTTCAACAAAAAATGCCTATACTGACTAATTTAGTTTGCTAAAATTCGAATTACTCTTATTTACTGCATTTCGTCAATCAATAAATGTCAATTTATGTTTCTCATCGTTACTTGTTAAAGCTATTTAAGAAAGAAATTATTGTAAATAACTAAGACAGAATAAAAATTAATCATGACTGAGTAACGGATTAGGACTTTTCAGCTAACTTATCTTATCAAGAAATATTTAGTTGTATTTCAATTGACAGCGTTTTCTTGTCATTTCAGTTTACTCTTGATTAAGGCTCATTCTAGCTCTATTTTGCAATGTATCTATATTTAGTTTAATTACGGGCTTTAATTTGAAATGTTGCCTCTTTGTTTGTTTGGTTTGATTTACGTTAAACCACCCTCATTTGATTTATTGATTTTACTACTCAGAAAATGGTATGTAGTCATATTTTTGCCAGATAACATAAGGTACAACGTATGTATAATCAAATGAGGATTTTAAATAAAAAAGCAGACTATTTTTACAGAGTATAAGATGCAAAACGAAGAACGGAGAGCGTGGGAATTCATCTTATGTAGTTGGAATATGGAGACGAGCACAAAAGTTAAATAAACAGAATGCAGAATAAGTAATGAAAAACGAAGAGAGTGAAGTCACATAACACAATGTACCTTATCTATCATTGTTCACCGACACCTGTTTATGCTAGACCAGACATTATAAGACACACACTCGATGTTAATGTTTCCGTTTCCCCCTTTTCATTCTTTAATGACCGCCATAAGAACCACTTGAGACACTTAAACCACCCGTACTGTTTCAGACGATTTATTCGGTCACAGTCGCTGACACGTTGACGTGTGAATTTGTTCATTTCCAATGAAAAGCTAATAAGATATGATTTAATAATAATAATAATAACGTTTTATTTACCCAGGGTAGCGACTTCAGTTGTGAAACTGCTCTCCCAGCGGGCCCTGCATAACATAACATGTTACTATTACCCTTCTCCAATCTAATATGCTGAGCGCCTAGCTAGAAGGCAGAAGGTCCCATTGTTGTAAGTCTTTGGTATGACTCGACCGGGGATCGAACCCACGACCTCCCGTTCATGAGGCGGACGCTCTAACCATTTGACCACACACAAAGAGAAAACATAGACGCCACGATGAAAATTATTCTGACATGTAGAGAAATATACTTGGCTTACGTGTTTTTTTCGTTAGGAATCTAGCAACGAACAGTCTAGAGAACAGATCAGAAGGTTATATGTATAACACAGAATATATCTGATATATAACATATAAACTATATATTATATAATATATTTGATATACAAAATATATCAAAAACTAAAAGTTAAATATTTGAACATATTAATTGTTGGAAACAATTGGAAGATTAAAAGCCCTCGCGAAAAATATGTGTGTTGATATCAAACATAATACGACGGAAGAGGTGTATAAGCTTAGGAATATATTTGTAATGAACCTTCACATTATCATAATGTATTTATGCAAACTGTAAGAACCGTTATCCACTATCATACTTTGTTTATGAGAATGATGTAAAATGTATATTACGAATCTGATAAGAATATTTACATCACAGTTCGCAATGTTGAAATGCGCTTGAAATTATTAGTCATCGCAGTAGAAACATCCTAAAATTAATTAATTGTGATTGGGACATAATAGTCCACCCTTCTAGACATGATATATGTGGATTTATGTTCTGGTTAATTAATGGGGAAAATTTTACCCTTTTAACCCAAACAGGTAGCGTTATTTCACACTATGAGCGCTATACAAGAACCCACTATTATTATTATTATTATTATTATTATTAAACTGGAACAGTAAACCAAGTACACATTCGTTAAAGCCACTGCCTGTTAGTAATTTCTCGCTTTTGTCAAATTTGTAGAGATGTCGTGGTCTAGTGGATATGTCACCAGACTGTGGATCACATGATTCACGGTTTGAGTTCCACCGCGGCACTAATGTCATTTGGCAAGACGTTAATCTTCATTTGCCACTCTCCACCCAGGTGGTAAATTGGTACTCGGTAGGATGCGAACGTTGATGAAGTTGGATTGGGATGTGTTCGCTTGTAAAATGGCGCCTGGCCGGAATAATCCTTAGGGAGCAAAAGCGTGTACAATCATGTGCGGATAAAGCCTCGGTCACAATTGCCATTACGAACTGCTACGAACGCCGTACGAACGATTTTCAGACAATGGAAATTCGGGAAGACAATGGAAAAACAGGGAGATTCGTACGAAAGTATCGTTCGTATTGTGACCGTAGGCCTAGCATAAGAAAATGAATCCAATGACCAAACATTTTGAAAAGTACGTAAAATAAAAAGTATGGGTCCTTAAATTCATAAATCTGCTGTCAATGATTAACCTGAAAGACATATTTGTAATCATTTAATTTCGTTGCTGTCGCTTTGCATTGTAAATGTAGACTATCATTATAATTGAACGAGTTGCATGTATAATGATAGTGATAATAAATAACGTTTCGAATAATTCTTTTGGCGATTTCTCGGGCTTCCGTTCTGAAAGGTGTGATATCAATGTTGAAACATGGTGAACTTCAGAACTTCATACTGACCTAGAAAACTTGTCAACTCCTTTCAGTTGACTGATCTGAACCCGGGATGACCTGGACAATCTGAACGTATATCATACCCTTGGCATTTAACATATTAGAGGACTGGTTCGAGATTTGAACATGAAGCATCCGAAGAAAGGCATGACCCATTGAGTCAAAATAATGATCGGAGTTCTGAAATAGGAGTCTCTTCCCCGTTTAATCATCGCCGGTATGTTACCTTGGGAGCAATCAAGCGGGTGATATCCGATTTTACATTTTATATTTCCCTTCTCCCTCCTCTCACTCGCTTTTGATGGGAGAAAGGGGCGGGTGGGAAACGAGGGCACAGAGTCCTTACCGACCGCAAGTATCGCTGAAGGTGCACATAAATGGATAAATTTGATCACTGAGGGAAATTCCAATAAACGGAATCAATTCTCGGTGTAAAATTCTATTCAAATCTACTTTAAGAATTGTTACAAGCAACATCACAGAAAGCGTATAACAAAATTGCCCACATTAACAATCACCTTGAAGATAATGTCCCTTTTGCAACCAACCTCGAATTCTGTACAACTTTGCAGGAATTATGAATATGTCATGTAAGTCCTATCTGTGAATTTTAAACGTTAGCAGTGTCCTAATATTCAAATCATCAAGGAACCCCGTTTATTTGCTAGACTTTACTGTCAGACACTATTGAGTGACTGACTGGCTTTTTTCTTCTTTGGTAATAACATACATAAAATGAGCTGTAAAGGTTACATCAACAACCCACTTCTTGTAATGGCCAAAATTAAACTGATAGAATATTTGCGCGGCATAAAACGTACGACCATTCAGTACAATGGTCTGAAAATTAGACTATTACTTACTGGCTCTATTACTTACTGGTCTTTTGCTCGCCAGCCACTGAATTCTTCAACTTTAAACAAAAGTTTAGCTTTTAAAAATCCAATCTATCCAAATCTATATATCAAAAAAGTAAGTCTAATTATAAAGCAATAAAAATCCTAAGAGAAGAGGCGTAAATATTCACTTCTGAATGACAAACGCCTATAAATTAAAACAACAACAACAACAATATAGCTCTTAAGCCAATTCAACAACTAATAGTCGTTATTTTCCCGCTTAAAGACATTTTCAAGCCCCCCTTTTTTTAGGGAAGTTCTAAATTAGTATCATCTTTCAAATGCCGTTGGAATTTAACCTTTTCAGTTTTTTGGCCTGCAAATGGGACATAGTACCTTTAAGTGTTGTATCTAGCATGTGGATAGATGGTAGCAGCTAGCTTACGCCCCTCATTATTCACGGCACATGGGGGAATATGTACAGTACAGCTTAACGCAAGGAAAAACCCGACAAAATGTTGTTCAGAATCATTCCTCCTCTTTAAAAAAAAAAAAAATTATGAAAATGACGGTGACAAAAGTAAAACAATAAATTAATAATAATAACTGATATATATATTATGAGCCACTATACAATTTTGTTTTGGTTAAGCTGTCAGGCATTATAAGAAGACTTTTTTTTTTTTTACTTCTACCTTTCCCTCTTTTTTCGTCTTCTTTTTGCTGTTGCTTTAAATGTAATTAGTTAGCCGCTAGTACGTGACTACGGCTTAGTACTTTTAGTAGGCCTACTCCGGCCGTTACTCTCTTCACCTATCTGTCTCGGCGGAGTCATTCTTCGGATGCGGGACACTTTTTAGAGGAACCCCAGTGACTCGACCCGACACATATCGCCCCCTCCCGAAGGTGGTGTTTAGCCAAAATGATTGGGAAGTTTCTGGCTTGGCTCGTTAGAGGATTCAAGACCACAGGCATTTATTCTGGGAAAGCAGAGGGCAGCTGTTTTAGTAAAGACGTCAGTGCAGACAGCGACCGTGGATCACCCTGCGCGACTATGTGGACACCATGACATTAAGGTCTAGGTTTTTATTGTCTTTCGGAGTCAGAAGCTGTGCGCCCGTGAACCCTAAGCTACAGGCATCGTTAGTGCGACACTTCGAAGATTTATGTTTGAGCGCGCGTTTTTTGTCTTTGTATGGATGCAGTATTAACCAGACACAACAATCCTACCAAAATATATCTTGCTCCCTCTTTCTCTCTTTTCCAGGCTCTATGTCTGTGAGTCTATCTTTTTTCTGAACTATTTGTAAATATACTATTATATATTCAATTAACTAGTCTTAGAATAATGTTAATTTTCTTTGAACTTAATCTAGGGGCTAGCTTTTGCTGGCTTCTCAATTATGAATATATTTACGAGTACATGTACATATATATCTTTTTATAATAATACTAGTTTTATTCATATCTCTGTTATTTTTTTAATGATAACCTTGAATTGATCTCTCTCCTCCCTTTTCACACTTCTGCCTCCTAACGATCTTCGTTTTTTCTCTCTTTCTCTCTCTGTTTCTTTCCTCCATCCCTTTCACTATCAACTTCCCCTTTATCTTACAATTCTCTCTCACTTTCTTCCTTTATTCGTCCTCTTTCTTTCAAGCTCTCTCTCTCTCTCTCTCTCTCTCTCCCTCTCTCTCCCCTCTCACTCTCTCTCTCTCACTCTCTCTCTCTCTCTCTCTATCTCTCTTTCTCTCTAGTTTATATCCATCCTATTCTCATCAGGAATACTGGCTATATAGTATGTCTCTGCTTCGGTTGTTTATAAACATTTATATAAAGACATAAGTTTAGATATTGCAAAAATTGAACATATCATTTCATATGAAAATGTAATATATTGAACATGTAGCCATTGAATATAAATCTGAATGCTTACAAGTATAATGAAAGAATCAGGTAGAAAAAGATGAAAATAATTTAACCAACATACAGAGTACAAATTAACAATTCTTCAAAGACATTTAGATTCTAAAAAAGTTTACACCTAGAAAATTGCTAATTATTTAAAAATTCATCAATGAACATTAATCTATTATATGTCTTATGAAAGAGTGTTTTATCCCAAATCATTTGGTACCATTTTTGTGTGGTATGTGTTCACGCTTGGATGAACAGGAGACATTGTTTGCGCCAAAGTTGCCTATGTGATGTTTGAATAAAACAATTGGGATTTGGGTATTAATTTGGTCTTTGCAAATCCAAATAACACCCCTAACAAAATTAATCATGCCACACATATTAAATATCGAATATCAATTATCAACGAACATTTGTACGCGTGTGTGTGGGTGCTTGTGACTTTGCCCTTTGCAAAAAACATATGCAATGCATTTCATTTGATACACTCAATCCATTCTCTCACTCCGCTAATCCCAACATAATACATACTGAAGGCATCACTTTGGCGCAAGTCGATTTTTGCACTCTCGCAAACAATGCCACCTGTTCATCCAAGCGTGAACACATACCACACAAAAATGGTACCAAATGATTTGGGATAAAACACTCTTTCATAAGATGTATAATAATTAAATAGAAGATTTTAAAAAATAATTAGCAATTTTCTAGGTGTAAACTTTTTTTTGACTCACACGGTACAGCTATTCCAACATGTGGGGAATAACCTATACATCAAATTCACTTGTTAGGGCAAAAAAAAAGCATCATATTGGCCCCAAAAAATCTGTTCTTTTGGAGGCTGAAAGAGAAATAAAATTTCAATAAATTTTCTTTATGTTTTCAGTGATGGGGTATCCCCCTCCAAAATCATCCACCATTCAGACATGTAATGGTCAATTTCCTTCATATGGAATCAGTTTACCTATGAACCAGATGTATGTACCTATGTGCCAGCCTTTTCACTGTAAGAATTAAATGAGTTTTAAATGCTTTGCACAAACTTTCTTTCAACTAGTAAAGGATCATTTTGAACGTTTTTATATAAAACTTTACATTTCGATTAAATTCTATCTATTTGTATTTGCCACAAAAATTATTTAATCAAATATTTTTCTTTAAAAAATAGCAGTATTGATTGAACCTTTAATGTATTCACATGTAATTATATGATTCAAGAAAAGATGGCATTCAAGTGATTGATTTAATATTCATATGCATTAATGTTGATTTTCTGGAATGTGAGCAGGGGGGGGGGGGGCACAGCTTAACCACTTGACTGCTACCCACGTACATGTACGTGCTTAGGGCATTGCACTTTCAACACCATTGCACTGCATAATGCCATCCCTACTGTGTAATTAACACTGCAATGATGTTATACAGGTCTTGAACAGTAGATGGCGCTCTTCCCCAAAAAAAATCTGGCTATTGATGTGTACAGTGTACAGTTTTTGTCAGGTTTTTGTACAGTACAAAAATGCTGTAGCACAGGGGGGAATGAACGCGTTTTAAGCCAATAGCAGTCAAGTGGTTAATCTCCTATGGTAGGAACTTTTGAACATTTGCTCATATTGCACTTACCGTAACTAAAGATTGGGAGAAAATTTATTTTTATCAACTTATGTTACACACACAATATCTATGGAGCATATCTGTTCAGAGCCAAAAGGGCATTAACACTGTGTCAAATGATCCGAGTCAACACCCTTAGAGCTCCAAAAAGACTATATATTTTGCATGTATTATTTAAATGTAGGGATATATGCCCCAGCAAACCAAGATTTGACTGAAAACTGAGTCACACTTTAAAGGCCCACTGTACTACTTGTAGCTACTTGCCCCCTCTGTATAGAAACATTGCCTAATCGGTGACCATTGTTTCCCCATGATCCTCTTTTCTTATGTTAATTGAGAGCTGATTTGATGAGATAGCCACCTGTCAGTGACCGTCCTGGGTGGTCTAATCCCTCCTAGCCAAACATACATAGAGCTGAAACCTCCTTCTTCATGACAAGAAGAGTCAAGGAAGCGTGAGTGGTAAAGCAGTTATCTTGTTACCGGGAGGTCGCATCTTTGAAACCATGTCAATGTGTGTGTGCCCATTGGAAAGACATAAATATTCCATTAAGAAGTTGCTTGAAAGGACTTTTATGCTTTCAAAAGCTGTAAGTCCCCTGGTTAATGACCCACAAGCACATATTTGCTTTCATAGCAGTCAAAGTAAAGGTTTGCACAATGTTTCCTGAGCTGACCACCTGCACACCACAATCAGATCTCCACATTCTCCAAGGAATACATAGTGATGGATCTATGAGGTGCCTCTGGGTAGATGCAGATAGTCGTCCTATGCTACAGGATGAGAGAGCAAGTTGGTTCCTGCTACCAATAAACGGTGATGGTCACTACTCAAGATGGTCCTCCTCTCCAGGATGGTACAGCTCTGAAAAATAGATGAAATTGCAAGAACCAGATGTAACACAATTTCAAAGACCTTGAAGATTTCAACCCAAAAGCAATTTCAATAGTATATCATATTTTTTTTCTTTAAAAGCATTTGCGATGAAAGGGTGTATTTGTTTAAATGGAAAAATGAGAAAGAGATGTAATAGGGGAATAGGGAGATGCAATCATGCAACAATACAGAGAGGGTGATTAGAAGATACAAAGATGGAGAAATTATAGAAAGATTGAGAAAGCAGAACAAAACAAAAAAATTAGAGAGGTACAAGGAGAGAAATAGATAGACAGAAAGAGGAAATAAGAGAAGATCACAATATACGATGGGAGACACAGTAATATTATAATTACTATTATCATCATAATTCTCACTATCATCATCAAAACTATCCTATCATCATAATCATCACCACTACCACCACCATCATGACCATCAACATCATCATCATCATCATCATCATCATCATCATCATCATCATCATCATCATCATCATCATCATCATCATCATCATCATCATCATCATCATCATCATCATCATCATCATCATCATCATCATCATCATTATCACCAGCATCATTATGTGTGCAAGAACATGTATGCAGATTATTTATGATACCTGTGTGGTATATGGAGGACCGGTCCATTTCCTGCAGACGCTGTATCCTTCTTCCTCTCCTTCCATCCAGCTGTGAGTTGATAAAGCCTGGTAGGATCCCGCTTGGCTTGCACTTCAACCTATGCAACAAAAATAAATCAAATATCATCATCCTCTGTATCATCCTCAGTTTGCAATTAATCACAGCTTGCACATGCCGAATTTGGATTCAAATAATCCCTCATGGAACAGCCTCCTATTTTGGATTACGCAGAGTATGGCCTTCTAGAGATCCAAGAGCATTCAGTTTCGTTTGGGAGTAGAATTTATTTAACTGTACTTCTAGGTGGAGATGTTTTGAAGTCTTTTGGTGGAAACTGCTTTCTACTGTGCAAAACAAAACCTAGGGGATGTAACAACGAAATTGAAGAACTCATCAATTTGCCATCTGGAAGAATTTGTATATTATGTGACTTCCCCAAAAGAAACTTCTACTAAAGCCCCTCTGCACTAGTTTGGCATGGAGGATTAAACCTCCCTGCAAGGTCACTGGCAGGTGGTTATCTCATCAAATCAGCTCTCAATTAACATAAGCAAAAGGACATCATCGGGGATCAAAGGGTACCAATTAGGCATTGTTGGCTGTATAGAGGGCGCAAGTAACTATAAGTAGTGAAGTGGGGCTTTAATCTGACTTTTCAAACCCACCTGACTCTTCAGTCTCTGCAATCTCTGTTTCTTCCTCTTCTCCTCCTCCTCCTTTGCTTTCTCCCTGGCCAGTCTCTCCTCCATCAGTCTTCTGTCTCTCTCTAAGAACCGCACCCTCTCCTGGGCAGCGCCTCTCCTCTTCTCCTCATTCTCCGCATCCCTCCTCCTCTCCTGTTCCATCTGCCGAAGCAGGTCTTCTTCCTTTCTCTGCTGGATGTGCATCTGTACTCTGGACTTCTCTTCCATCTATCGTACAAAAACATGATGAAAAAGATAGAGCGATGGTCTTGGAAATCAGTCCATACAATAGTGCTCTTAGAAAAAGTATGGATTTTTGGGAGCACAATACTTTCTCTATTTGTATTTGTATTGTATTTATTGATTCAACCATAAAATAACATCAAATGAAAGCAATAACAGTATATCAATATTAATATATAAGTTTTGAGCGTTGTGCGTTGAGAGTATAGTTGTAGATTTCAATCGTTTGAAGAAAATTAATGACATTTTAAATCATAGTATGTTCATCAGTATTACCATAGTTGTACTATGTAGCCACGTTTATCTCTTTGATGCATAACCTTGCTTGCGGTAGCCGGTGGAGCTAAGAGGGTTGGTCCGTAGTTCTAACATGATTTACATATAATGCCAATTTGTTCATGTGAGTCATTGGCCAACATCGCAAATTTGCTAAATTGATGTAATATAAATAATGAGAGTTCCTTTTTTTTTTATTTCCTACCTTTCTTTGTCTTTCCATATCATGTTTCCTTGCTTTCTTGTATTCTTCTTCCAGTTTCCTTTCTTCCTCTTCAGCCTTCTCTAATTCCCTTTGCACCTGAAAACCAAAAAGAGAACACTTTCATGTATAATGATGCAAACCTAGACAAAAGACATATTCTAAAAATGACATGTATGAACAAATTAAAAAAAAGGTCAAGGTTTTTAAATTGTGTCCATCTAAACTGGACTGCTTAGGAGCTTATTGTTAATAATAATAATAATAGTTCATTTTTATAATGCGCCTAATACTTTGTTTCTAGGTGCAGTACATATTATTACCCCGGTCATTGGATTCAGGCTTACTCGCACACAATGTATGCACAATCTCCACTCCCTGGGGAGCATTCCTCCTTTTTACAAAATTTTGGCCAAGAAATCAACTCATCAGATCTTTCTTGTAGATTTTGTATCTCCTGTAATTTACAAGCTTGTCATTGTTACATACCACTTGTACATATATTACCCATCTGTCTGAATGAACTCACACCAGCCAGTGTGAGTTTCACATCAAATATGTCCTGTTCCATAAATAACCTGTAAATAGACCCGTTTACACATCCCAAACGCCTTTCTGAAAAATCATCCATTTTTTTAATGCAATTTTCAGAGAGGAGGGTCAAATTACAACAAAAAAAAACGTAATCATAAAGATATCTTGTTTTACACTGCAAAAATCAGCAATATTTCGACAGTCATTTAAAAAAACCACCTCCTAAAGATGGATTTTTCAATTTGGCTTTTCATCGCGTTTGTCGGTGGTTGCTGTGCAATTAACAACAAAACACCGGAATGTGAGAAAAATCAGTGATTTTTGCTTGCAGTGTAAGTGCAGCTAATCCAAGATGCTACATGATGACCTATTTCTACTCATTCTCTCGAACAACAGTAAATGCTCTATTCTATATACTCACTTTCCAAGCATTGAGCTTTTCATATTTCTCTCTTCTCTCTTCCTCCATTTTCTTTGCTTTGAGTTCTGCCTTCCTCTGTGCCGTCTCTTCCTGCTCCTCCTCATCTCTGCCCACATTGGACATCAGTTCATCTTTCTGAGCCTGACATTTGAAAAAGTGAGAATAAAAGAAAAAAATGTCAGCTACTCGATTCTAGTTGATCAAATAACTTTAAGTCTATAACAAGCATATGATCATCACTTGAAGCATCTCCCCTAAAAAACAAAACCAAGATTTTGAGGGGTCAGTGACACAAAGACGTAACTCGATTTTGGCCATTTTTAGAAAAAGGATTTAAGTCTATGTTTCACTAGCCATTGACTTCAATGGGGTGATGGTTTGAGTAAAGTCTTTGTGTTTCCTGAAAAGCCCACATTTTTCTGAACATTTTGATATCAAATACTCATTTTGGCAAAATATGGAGTTACGTCTTTGTGTCACTGAACCCCTAATATGATATGATATTAAAGTGTACAGATGCCTCTTGCATATTAAATTGCATTTATCCGTAAACACAACTCCAAACAATTTACATAAGTCCAAAACATGTACTCCTGATTGGTGAAAAATCAAGTTATGTTAAATTTATGGACTTGAATTTTAAATTTAAACACATCTTTTTAGACAAGAGGCCCAAGACATTGGAATCATTTTAGCATTTTCACACATCATATACACTTGTACAAGAGAAAGTATTGGTACCATGTATGTATTGAGGAGAAACATACACTAAAGACATGTAAAAGTATAGACAACCTGTCTACAAAGGCCAAAATTGTTGGTTCCCTTGAAAATTGTTTCTCATTGAATCATGTACTAAAGGAACCTGTCTACCAAGACCACCTGTCTACAAAGGCCACTTTTGTGTTTTTCTTGGGCGGTCGCTATAGACAGGTTTGACTGTTATACCTCAATGGTACAACTTCTTAAAAGCATTCTTTCTTGACTTGTAACAATTCATTTTTTTGTAACAATTCATTTTTTACATACATACTTCCCTTCTTCATTTCAACCAATGTTGTCATTATCATGTCATTATTATTGCCAACACATTATAGTCTAGTCACAGTTTCACAGTAACTTTGTATTAGGAGTCATGTTGTGGGTTATACTCATGCCAAAAACAAAGAGGAACTGCTGCGACATGTACTTCATGACATATCACTATGGGTCAACTTCAATTTCAAAAGCTCATGTGCCCATGGACCCTAACTGTGTGAAATTCCGGTCTTATGCTTACTTCTTTAACAAGTCTCCACTTCTGTATACCGTCCTTCTTGCGCTGAAGGAGGGTGGTGTATTCCTGATACCAGTTCTCATGGCATTTGACATCTATCATATCCCTGCCCGGTAGAGACACTGCCGCTTCATCCATGAATAGTGGTCTTCCCTAGAAATACAAAAAATCAAAAGATTGTTTATCTATCACTCATATTTTCTTCTGCACAATTCTTCAAACCACCTCTACACTTTTGGTGATATTAAAAGTTTAAAGCTTTGCTTTCTTATGTGATCTATCTATCTATCTATCTATCTATCTATCTATTAGGCTATAGTTCATCCAGACGTTGGACAAAGCCCTCCTCATAACATTTCCATTCTCTTCTGTCTCTAGCTATCCTAGTCCAAGCGGCTCTTCTCATGTGATGGATATTTATAAACAATAAGATGCTCAATCTTAATCTGTGGATCTGTGGAGCAGTGGAATTGGTTTGATGAACAAACCTTATTTTGTATTTCTATATAATGTTTTCTTTTTATTGATGGTCATTTGAAGATACCGTAGATTTGGAGTCAAAAGAAGTTAGTTTAATAATCGCTTTAAGGTTTGGTTTTTAAAGATACCTTATTACGCTACTTGACAGAATACAGAGCAAGACGTCAGCAGTTGTCGAGAGACAAATTTATTTACTTGTGACGCCAGATTGTCGCCTAAGAAGTGAGTTTTTGTAATAGTTGACATTGAACATTCAGTAATTTCATTTATGTGTGAAAGAAGTATGAGAAATGTATAATTTTCAGAGCTCAAGCAAAAGAATAGGTTGGTATTGAAATGTACATTTGTATTTGGTACTTGTGCAGATATTTGAGTTTAATGCATACGTGTAAAGGTATTTGGTTTGAACGTAGGTGGCGTTTTACGAATTGTAGACGTGGCTCGTAATTTGAAAGTGGAAAGTTCCAGTGATATTATTAATTATCTATTTTGGTTATTAAATAGTGAAAGATAACCAGTTCATGCATTTAGAGCAATTTAGAATGTGGTATATATATAAAATATGATCGCTTATTTCGATCCTTAAAGAAATATTAAATATATGATGAATTGTAATGTATAAAATTGTTTCATCAAAAAATACAATGAACAGGGCTTTAAAATTGTTACTTGTAAGAACCAAGGAGGGCAAGTGAAGTTTATAGTTTGAGGATTTGGTGATATAAATGAAAGAAATGACTATATTTGTCATTTCTTTGTTAGTTATACATGTATTTTTCATATGGTCATTTAAACTAGATTTAGTCTTTGGAGATTAATTAGTTATGTGATATTGACATGATAGAATAGTTAGATACAATCAAAAGTATATTGTATTTTTATGAAATACAGAGTTTAGTTGAATTCAGTTGTAACCCATATGAGAATAGGAAAGGAAAACTCTTATACATGTTTTAGAGAGTGAATTCATTTATTGGTAACATAACACATACATATATTTATGAGTCCTTTGATTTATATCTTTGCAGATTTGAATACAATAAAATATACGATTTCAAGTGGCAATCTGGCACGGTGTAAACTGAGTTCCCTATTGATCCAGGAATAATAAGGTACTTTGGATGGATAGCATATTAAAGAAATGACTTGAAGAGAGAGGAGTGAAGGGCCTGGGTTGGAACTGAAAGAGAAGGCTAGAGACGGAGGACTGTGGAAGAGCATGATCACCAAAGTCTAAGGATATGGAAAACAGGCACAAACAGGGAGAGGGGAGAGAGAGAGACAGAGAGAGAGGGGTGATTCAACCCTGCTGAGTTTCCTGCATGACCCCAAATCCCCTTAATCCTTTACCTTGTATTTATTCCTGATCCTCATGAATGTACCGTGATCATATTCATCCCATCCTCCTCTATGGCCTCCGGTTTGCTGCAAAAAACGCTGTCGGAAAAAGGACAATGAAATACATTACAGTCAAAGCTGTTTGTAATAGTAAGCAACTGTACAAGAAGACAATTTCTTGGTAAAGTCTACATTTTCTGTTCCCTTGAGCGGAGCCTCTAATCAATGCCCATCCATATAGACAAGATTTGTTTTCTCTCTTTAGTGGTCTTATTTAAGTATTTCACCATTTCTACCTTTATTTCCCAAAAGCTAAAAAGAAAACGAACAAAAAGCATTTTACGATCAAACGACATCTCGTTTACTGCAGAAATATGTTGATATAAAACAAGAACAAAAATCGCTGTGACTAATTTCCAACTAGTTTTTTTTTGCTTTTGCAAACTATAGACTGAATGCATGACAGGTTATGACTATGGAAATGACTGAATGGTTGCAATTAAAAATATCTAATTGCTGTCATTAATATGAGCTACTTGTTTATTATGCTGATCCCATTATAATTAGGCCTAATTATAATTCACTTTGTAAACTGAATTTTTATCATTTTATTATCTTTAAAGAGAGAGAGAGAGAGAGAGAATCATTTTAAAACATATTATTCAATAGGAATTATCTTTTTTGCAACATCAATACTCTCAAGTCCAATATCCATTACTACAAAGTGAAGTGTTCTTATATTTCAATTGAATTTCTAATTTCTAATTTGGAAGCTAAAAGTGTCTCATAAATTCTCATACTGAGAATACCATTATGGATTGGTATTTTTGAGCAAGGTCAACAGAGCAAAATGGTTTGTCGCAGGTAGGGATATTCAAGGTTGGTCACTGTAAATGGAAAATTCAAGTATTCAAATTCCATTCTACTTACTAAACAAAAATTAGGTTTAACTGAAAAAATATGAAAACATCAATTAGCTGATCCTCAACAGAAAGCTGAATAAATCTGAATAAGGCCTATCGATGCCAATACAGTAGGTGCAAATAAAGAAAGAAAGTTGACCGCACACAATACTGGACAAGTTAGCTTACCTCAAAAGCTGCCACTTCTGGGGGCATGGAGGCCATAGCATTGCGTGCCGATGACACTGGCTGGGGTTTAGTGGATGTCTTGGTGTTTACAGGGATGGTTATCGGGAGAGCTTGGGCCCATGATTCATACCTATTCTCAAGAGCTGATATTTCTTGCCACAATGTCTTCTCCTCTATCATCAATTCCTCATAGCTACAAAGAAACAAAGTTAGCAACTGATTATCTTACTGGGAAATTGTCCATTATACAGAACAAAAGGAAATTTGTCAAGGCCGTAGAAAAAATGTGTTATCTTTTTTTTTTTACACTAGAACTGTCTAAGAAAATATGAATTCATGTTTTAATCATAGGCCTGTTTTCTTCAGACTGACCAAACAAAGTTTGATTTATAAGTAATATTCTCTTTAGAAAATTTCCAAACATGTTCAGCCTCTGGAGCTATCCATTTCTAAATCATATTTTACCCAAGATCTAGAAGTTTAAAATATTTTGAAATGTGAAAATTTTGATGATTATTTGACTGAGCCTAACTGCAATATATTGTTGGTCAACATTTAAACACAGTAAACACCAACTCTGTAGATATGGATTAAATGGTTTCAAAGAAAAAAAGATTATGGACTATGCCCTTACCCATAGGCAGATCAAAAACTCAAAATTGAAGTTCTACTCCCTTCTCTGCCATAACAATCTGAGTTTCTTCTCACTCTTGGATAGCGTTAGGTCTTGTTATTTACATCAATATGGATTGCCATGGTGAATATAACATCGAGATATTTGTGGCATCACCACAGGAGAGTTAGACACACAAACATGAGGAGTTTATAAGTACTCACATGGTTCTCTGCTGGTCCTTGAAGGAGTCGATGACGGACTCAATATCTTCCATTGTCTCCTTCAGCTTCTCTACAACTGAAAATTAAAAAATCATCCATTACAAGTTTTTCATATGATCATTCACAAAGGTATGGAGCTTTATGGGCACAGTATAATGTTGTTTCTTTCCTTGGTGCATTCTTTAAAAAGAAAAAAAAATGAATCCCCCCATTTTAAATCTGCTTTCATAAAATCTTTTTCAGGATTGTTATCAAAATACAATAACATCAACAGTGAGGAAGGGCGGAGGGAGGGGCGGGATGGGGGGAGGGGTAGCATCACATATAAGCAACTTACACTCCGGAGTGGGTTTTACGTTTTGTAGCTGGTGCTGAAATTTGTCCACTGTACTCCTCATCTTTTCCAGCTGCCCTCTGACTTTCACCTCTGTTTGAATGAAGTAGAACAAAGCGCAGCGAATTGTAACCACATGAATAAACATTCATCTTAGTGTCTGTCAGGATATGCTCAATAGATCCTAGCCGGTCTTTATCTACGATGTCTCATTCTCTCTCTCCCTTTCTCCCAGTATCTTTCTCTCTTCCCTCTTCATTTTGTCTCTATCCCTCTATTTCACATTGTCTAAATCTCCCACTCTCTGTGTCTGTCTTAAGCTATTTCCTATCACTCTTTTCATTGTGTTAATGAGGAAAGTATGCTTTTACATTACTGATTGGAACTAAAATATATTTTATAACTGTTCTTAACTCAGCATTACTCTAATGATTTAGTGTGTATAAAAAAAAATTAAAAAAGATGCTATCGATTGGAAGCTGCAAACTACAAAACTAACACTTTTTAAAATGCTTTCAAGTCACAATTTTGGGTTATTTTGCCCAAAATAAGTATATACCATTATATGCTTTTCTATGTAGCAGGATGGATAAGAAACAGTCATCTAAATGAAGGTCATTAGGGACATCTGTTTTTATTTGTTATGTCTTTCAGCTGTACATTGAAAAAACAGATTCTTTTACTTACTTTCATTTTTCCTGTCACTGACCGTCTTTGACTCCAATTCTTCCAGAGCCGTGTAGTCTTGCCTAAACTCACTCCTCTTGCTGTAGACATGTGCTTGTTTTTCTCTCTCCAGAGCTGCAATTCTGACATTACAGAAGAATAGAGACACATGCAAAATTAACAACGGCACATACTGAACTTTGAACATTCCCTTTGCAATGCAAGCTGCCAGCTTGACAGATCAGAAAAGTTTTAAAAAAAGGAAAACAATTTCAAATGCTTTAATACAGAAAGGTTAAATTTATTTTACAATTCAATTAAACACATTTTATTGGGATAAGATCGTACAAAAATAACAATTAAATACATTACTTTTTCTCCAGCTGGTCAAGTTCCCTCAGCAGTTCAATCTTCTTGACTTGATCAGGAGAGCTCTTCTGAATCCAGGTGGCCTTGTTTCCTGCTCTGGAGGACGTCCTTCCACTGTCCAATCTGGAAGAACTCCTAGAGGAAGATCTTCCACTGTCAACCTTTGGTCTCTGTTAAAGATTGAAATAACGTCAGTTTAGTAAAAGGTAAACTGCAAGTAAGCTTTCAGATTTCCTGTGATGGAGCTGCAAATTTGTTTTACAATAATAAAAGCAGGTACTTGTATAGACTCTTGTCTGCCAGAATTAACACTCCTGGCTGCGGTTAGTGCTCTACAATTATTATCCTGGCTTTAGCATGGATGCCATTACGGCAGCACTCTAGGATTTGGAGGAGTTTATTCTTGTCAGGTACCTATTTATTTACCTCACTCCTTTTTTTTTGCTGCCCTGGCATACAGATTAAAGTGAGCAAATCTTGCTTGAACTGAGACTTAGCTCAATTTTGAAGGCAGAATGAGCGATTTGAAACGCTCATCATAAACGCTCATCGTAAACGCAGTTCCACGGTGTACTGTTTATGCTCCCTTCTCCAGGCGAATTAGGGCTCTGTATCTGGATTCGCATGCTACGTTGACCCCGGGAGGGCAGGTCAAGTTTTGGCACGCTTTTTCGAATATGCTTTGTAGGCACTGCTAATGAAGGAGATACACATCAGATGATGATGCAACGGGTTAGGCCTTCCCCGTGTTAGGCATTTTGCTAAATCAGGCTAAATGATGTTTTGTAGGCATTGCACCAGCAGGAGCATGCATTTATGCAGGCCAGGCGTCCACTGCATGTACGTGTATGCGATATGCGCTAAAATAAAAAGAAGAAGTAAAAGAATAAAAGTACACAAACAAGAGAAATAAAATTTGAAAAAATAGAGGGAAAGAGAATAATCTCAAAATAGAAAAAAAAAGACTAAATGTTAATAATATATCATCTGACATAGAAATCATCTATATAAAAAAAAAATCTTTTACCTCCCCCCCCCCCCCCCCCCCCCCCCATCCCGTGAATTTTCCATGGGTCCTGCTAGTTATAGATTTTCATGTGAACCGGAAACACGTTTATGATGACGTCATTTAAACGCGTTTACAAATGATTGTGCATTTATGCTTCCACAGAAACCGTCTTTTTGGAGAAACACCGATCCAAAATGCATCTTTTTGTGAGTTTACGATCAGCGATTATGATTGCCGTTTATCGTGATTCTACGAAAATGAGAAAGGACGCAACCGTGTTTTGAAATAAACGCGTAACAAAAGCCTCAGTCTGGCCTGAAAAAGTCGAGCATAAACGTACCCTTACAACAATTACTACAAGTGTTAGTGCAGGTGTGTGTGCACCTGAATGAGACTTGAGAGGCTAGAGTAGTAGAGTGCCATCAATTAATGTCCCATCCCGATCCTGTTTTTTTTTTTTTTTTTTTTTTTTAAAGGACAAGATTAAGATGCAAGACTAGACTCTAGACTAGACATGTTATAGGGCTAGCCATTTTTTTTTTCTTCCATCAAGCATGTGAATGCGATACCCAGTATGCAGCTCAACTGCCAGCAGCTGCCGCAGCGCTGCACCGGGTCCGGGTCCGCGGCTCATTTCTCCGCGCCTTACTCCCTTAGTACCCTTACGGGTAGGCTGTTCAGCCCCGGAGGTACTGTACATTACACTAGCCAACCATACACTGAACGCTATATATGGGGCATACAATCGACACATAATCACAGCTTTTCTCTAACAAACACTCATAAAATCTTATTTAATGAACTAAAATATAATTTTAAAATATATATAACTAACAAGATGTTTTTAACAACGGAAATTTTAACTAGTAGTGACGGTAAACGAAACGGTAACTATTATTTCAATTAAAAAAATTAAAAAAAATCACTCACGGGAGCCGCCATATTTGGGTCTGTTATTATAGTATTTCCATAATTATTAAATCAAGATAATCGAATACATAAAGTATATTAATATGTTATATAATTTTAAAATTGAGAGATAATTTTTTTAAATCAGATTCAAATATTCAAAATTGGATATATGAATAAAAATACAAGATTTATATTTTCAAATTGGCCATTCTATTCAACGCCATAATGTTACACAACTCGCCCAGTGTACAACTCGGACCAAATGAGTTTCAACTCGTTACTCCTGGCTCGTAATATGAGTGAACTGTATACTATTTAATTATCTTGTATACATGTACTAAAATAATTCTTTAAGAGTTCAGATGCTGAATGATTGCAATAAAACGCTATGAACCAACAACAACAACAACAACGTTATTATATCATGGTCACAATATCCATAGCATTTAGGAATATTATCCTGACTGTGATAATGTCCGCGGAGTACCGCGACTGATAGCTTAATTTAATTACCCCTTAAAAGCCAGAATGACTTGAAATGAGTTCTGTGATTTATGCATCAAGATGATAAAGATACTTTTGGGACAAATTATGTCCGCATCGGCATGGCTCCTCCCATATATATCTTCTAAACATGTTTGATTGATGCGTCTCACCATACTCACCGTGCTGTGCTATACCAATTTCCGGGGGGGGGGGGGGGGGGGGGGACTAGAAAGAAAACGGACAGGAATACTGGCAAGAAAAATATGATCAATATAAATATACTCTCTCTATATTGAGTCTTTATATTTCGTGTTCTTTTTTAATCAACTATCATACTACGTCGAATCATTCATTTCGATCCAACCGTCGATCTTCATTGTTACTGACTTTTTAACTTGATAGCCGATTCACTTTAACTTACCAGAAAAGGAAGGTAGTACTGTAGTAGGCCTATTGGAACATTCGTGTTATTACATTGTCATGAACTACTGGAATTCCCTTCCCAATGATATAAAAGGAAATATAAAACTTTGCTCATTTTAATTTCAGAAAATTAAAGGAATACCTTGAAAGCCAGAGGAGAGAATCGAATGACATGTTAATATATGGTTGAAATAGCCTGAATAAAGAAAACTTTTCTTTTCACTGCCAGGTTCATTCTTTTTAATGTTGTATATATATGCATACTTATGTTTTTGTTTTAGAAATTCAACATATTCATCATTATTTTCCCGTCTTCTTCTTCCTCCTCCTCCTCTTTTCTTCTCAGGCTCCTTCTTCTCATTTCTTCCTCTTTTTCTTTTTCTGTATCTTCGTATTCTTCTTGTACTTATTGTCATTTCTATCATTATTTTATTGTTGTTATTGTCATCATTATCTAAGTTTTTTTCTTGTCTGTCTGTAAATATTACGATTTTAACTTATTAATTTTGTACGTGTCTGTCGGGGACCCCACTGGAAATATGCTATCGAGCTTTCTTGGGCTATCCTGTTCAAACTGACTTAATTTTGATCTGTTATACTTTTATATTGTTGTATGTTGGAGGCTTGGCGAATAAAAATCAATCAATCAAATAGACAGGAAGACGGGGCCGGAAGAAGTCGGGTCGTAAGTTTTGTGGGCGATTTGTTTAGGTTCGTTTGTTGATTGCTGCGTAGAAACAGTAAACAATGCATATTGCAGAAATTACATGCACGCCATTAGGCCTATTTAGTATTACATTGACCCACGTACAGTACGTCCACAAGATTGGTGTCATTAAACTTAAAGAAGACAAACGGTCAGAATTGTACGTTGGTTTCTCATCTATGTATTATCCTTAACTCGCATTTCTCAGTTTTCCATGTATAGACCCTAGTCTAGAAGTAGAATAAGGGTTAACAAGAACAGAAGTCTTTGAAGACGGCTTTATTTTTGGAAAGGACCTTCACAAATCTTCGAACACAACACTCGCCAACACTCAACAGGCAACTTAACGTGTGAAGTTACTTCTGGAGGCTATCAAACCAATAATATATCAGCGACTAGCTAGTAAGAAGAGAGGAAAGAACATGGCAACACTTAATCCAGCAAGAACTCTGAACAATTCAGGAGGAAGATGTCTCATGGAGAACTGGGTTGAAGAGGTGAATATTTTCCCCTTGGCTTGGCTTTCGCCGCCTTGGGCTTTGGCTTTGCATTGTTAATTTCTTAAGATTTATTTCTTTCCTTAAAAAATGTCTTATTTGAAACCGTTAGATGTTGCATAACTGTTAATTAATTACAGCTATCATATAATTTATAAACTATGCTGTATGCTATTCATGCACAATTTGGTGGAGAATCTTTAAAGAGCCTTGACAATTCATACTCGATCTAATGTTAGAATTAGATCTAGGACTACATTGTAGGTAGATGTTTATCAGATTATAAGTCTAAGACTAAAGACTAAGCTATTGTAGTTAGGATTTCACTGAAACTATAAGTGACAATCAGTGGTTAAACTTCTGAAATGGAAATATACGTTCATGTATTAAACTGCCAAATCTTAAAATGTAACTGAGTCAACAAGTGCTTATCAAAATACACATTGTCATTGATTACTAAACTAAATACTTCCTAATTTATTGTTTCACAGAGGCAAGTTTTCCAGACAGGTCTGGACAGTGCAGGAGTGAATTCTACTGAAAGTTACACATCCAACAGCTCTCTCCCATACAAGGATGGACACAAGGGCATCCTCACACGAGAATTAGACACTGCCGTGGAGAAAGAATCAAACAGCATGGGATCGTATCAGAGACCTGCTCAGTGTGGGGTTCGAACAGTCGGTAAGAAATCCCTCTTTTTTTATTAGCTTATAGGATGTAATTATACTTGTAAACCATTAGCCTATAAGAAAGAGAAAAAAAGACTCCCGGGTCATACTGTACTACATGTGAAATTATCAGCAGGGCTCTTTCTTTCTTTATTTCATTTTACCTTGTTATCTTCAATGAACATTAGAAAAGAAAAATGTAAGGACCTACAGTTTTTGAAAAAAAATCATCTCTGAACTGGTTATTTTTACTTTTCTGATTGTATTTCATCCAGGCCGTAAGAAGGAGTTGATGGAGAGAGCCCTTTATGCCAAGGTTAGCCAAGAGCTTCAGGAAGAGATTAATGAGCCATCACCTGTTGAGGAATACAAATCAGTAACTCAGAAAGACTTCTACGATGATGAGTTTGAGTCCGAGTTACCAGCCCCTCTGTATGAGCATAACGTCAACACCGAGCAACCTATCACATTCTGGAGTCATCATAAAGAAAAGATTCCCGTAAGTTTATCAATAAATATAGTGATTCAAGAAATATAGGCATAGTGGGTGAAGTATCATAACAACAACAAAAGTATGAACCCGAAATCTTTTTTGTTATGCCTGTAGGGCAACAGAATGAAGCAGATCAATTTCTATTGTAATAGAAATGTTCATGGAAATGGAAATTAGAAAAAGACATTTATAAGTCATGAAACTCATGTTCAATAACAAAACACTTTAAAGGCCAAGTCTGGCCCACTTGTAAGTTAATTGGATAAATAGAGAAAAAATAAACAACCAAAGCGATGAAAGTTTCATCAAAATCGGACCAAAAATAAGAAATTTATGGGAATTTAAAGTTTTGCATAATTTCAATAAAACAGTGATATGTATTACAGGAATTCCTGACAACTCGCCACAAAGACAACCCGCCCCAAGACAACCCGCCACAATACCCTGGATATCTCGCCACAATACCCTGGACAACACGCCACAGGCGAGTTGTCCAGGGTGGGATGCCTTTTCGGACAACTCGCCACACTTTTTCCCCTCATGATTTCTAGATCTAAAATCCCTCATCTTAGATGAAATTGTCATTTTTCATGATTTTCATGCTTTTATAAACACTGTCATGACAGGAAACATAAAAATTGTGAGTATTTTGAGAGCTGTTCTAAAGAATAAAGACGATTTTCTGACTGTGGGCAAAAGTGCGAAACTAACCCAGAAAATCTAGAAATCAACCACATTTCAATTTTATTTCGCGGGTCAACTGTCCCCTCCCCCATCAGTACGCCAATGCTTCCAGTAGGCCTATCCTTCCATGAATTCCTACCATTAAAAATTATCAGAAGGGAAAAGGACATGTTCAAAGGATAAGGGGGCACTTTAGGGGAACCTGGACAAGTGGGGGCACAGTGTCCCCCCCCCCAATGAAGAATGCCGCCTCTGACGAAAATAACCCAGAAAATCTAGACATAAACCACATTCCAATTTTATTTCATGGGTCAACTGCCCACCCCCCCCCCCCCCTATCAGTACGCCAGTGCTTCCAGTATCCTACCATTAAAAAATTTCTGGGACAGAAAAATGCGGCTGTTATAGACCTCTAGATCTAAATACCGAGAAGTTATCCCAATGATCTGGCAATCGTACGCCCCGGCCGTACGCCTTTGGTTTGTCAAAAGTATATTATTGTTACAAGGGAAATCAGCTTTATTCTTTATACTTTGTCATGACTGTGTTTATAAAAGCATGAAAATCATGAAAAATGACAATTTCATTTCATTTTAGATCTAGAAATCATAAGGGGAAAAAAGTGTGGCGAGTTGTCCAGGGTATTGTGGCAAGATGTCCAGGATATTGTGGCGGGTTGTCTTGGGGCGGGTTGTCTTTGTGGCGAGTTGTCTGGACCCCGTATTACAGTACATATCCTGTATTCAAATCGGCAAGTTGATGATGTCACCCCTCGCTATTCCCCATATATTTTGTTCATGACATTTCAACTTTTTCTTTATCTTGGACACACCTGTATAAAAGAATTCCTTTATTTTTACAATAAGTTACAGTTATGGTAATTTTGCACATATTTCATGAGGATTCAACTCGAGCCTTGTTTTCATTCCCAGAGCAGAAAAGTGATATTTTTAATATTTAAGTACAATACTGATAGAGAAAAGTGAGAAGATGACATCATCAACTCACTGAGCTCTATAACTTTCTTATTTTTATGTTCGATTTTGATTAAACTTTTACTGTTTTGTTTGTTTTTATACTCTCTTTATTAAAATGAATTTGCAAATGGGCTGGACTTGCCCTTTAATAAAGACTTAAAGATTGAGATAATTAAGTAAAAGAAAAAACTTCACATATTATATTTTTCCCAATAGTGAGTACAAATCATTCATACATGTAGGTATACAAGGATTCTATTTCTACAGTTCTCTATAGCAACATGCATTTAAAGACATTGTAAAGTCTATATTTAGTCCTGTGTAGCGATATGTTAGAACGAAATAGAGGTGAATACTGAAGACTTTGCAAACAATCCATTTAAAATGTTATTTTAATCCTTTTTCATCTCGTTTGATTTCTTCTTTGCTCAGGGCGTTTCTCAAATCAAGACATTAGATACACCGTTCAAGAAGAACTCAGCATTCAGCAAGCCTATCGCAGAGGGCACTGATCAGCCACAGCCTTATGAACAAGAGACACACCCCTTCTTATAACCCCTTGAATGATGGGATAATTGCTTTTCATCAGCGAGCTTGTAACTCTGCTCATAATTCCGCTCGCTAACCAAGGTCTTCAACAAGAACATGCATTTTTCTGTTTTTACTGGATGCATCCATAACTGGTTTAGCCACATATGAGGACGGAAGCAGTGTATAAAAGAACTTGTGTTCTGTAGGTGAAATAATATTTTTAGGGTCATGTTTTTTTCTAAAGTTCACAATTTGGAAACTGTTATCCATCTGTGATTTTCAGACATCCTTCTGACACTGAACCAGAGTGAAATAGGAAGAGATTTAACTTTATATATACTGGTTTGATGTCATATCATCTAAAGCTTGCTATATTTGTTTCCACGGACATTCATAAAGAGACTCTTTATCTTTGCATCTTCTACTATTATAGTGAAATGGTTCAAGGGTAAATTTAGATGTTCAGTAGTTATCATTACTTGAACTTTAGCAAAAAAATGCCCTTGTCTCTGTACCATCCTTTTCCCTCATTAAAACAAAAACCCATCTGGGTTTGAGCCATTAAGTTTGTATAGTTGTAAGCAATATTGTAAGTGATGATTTTACATGTAAATTGTTGTTAACTATTTAAATACATAATTGAAGCTTTAACTTGGAAAATAGTACATGTCAAAGAGGAGAGAATTTTAAGCCATTGTCCTTATACATGTATCATTTTAATGCAGGCTTATTTATCTGGTATTGTATGTGTATTTGTAAATGGACTTTGTTACAATAAATATAGTAAATTGACAGATTTGGCCATTTGAATAGGCCTATGAATTTACATTCATGTATTCTGAAGAAAGCAAAAAACCTGTAATATATATTTAAAATAAAAACAGAACTCTGCTTCATATATGGTATGTCAGTAATTAGCTTGGTTGCTGGTATTTTATGTTTTACGAGAGCATTTTCTGTATAAAATATTGTCTCTATAGCTGGTATGAAATATAATTCATGCTTTGGTATGTAGTTACATGTACATTGTTGAGTATACCAATTTCATTTGTCAACTTGTGATGTTTGAATATATATACATGTACATTGTTTTTAAAAAGTGTACAAATTAATAAAGAAAGATCTACTCGATGTTTTACCATGTCCTTTAGTATTTTATCATTGTTGGTCAATTTCAGACCACTTCAATTTGTATACTGTATAATACTACTAACGTTTCTTTGTTTCTTGTCTTCTTTGTCGTTTGTTTTTGTCAATTGTTAAATGTCACATTCTTTGCACGTGTTACCCTTCAAAAGTTTGCATTAAGTACTCTGCGCATTGAAAATTTAGATGTACAGTTGATGTTAATTTTGTTAATTATACGTCATGTTGCTATTAATATTATGTAGTTACGGGAGTGGGCAGTGCAGCATATCCCCAGTCGAAAGGCGAAAGAAAAGATATTAGAAAGGGGGAAAAAACGGAATATGATATAACATTTCCAATCCTTGCACTCTATGGTATCATTTTCACCAGGCATTTTCATCACGTTTCACCCAATGAGTTACGTGCCCTTTACACGACACGCCACAGTCACTAATACTTCATTAGTCCAGCTTCTATCCGTTTTTATACATTTTGTATTCTTCCGATCGCACTCGTCCCACACACGGCGCGATGTCTCCAAACAACCGTCGAAAAAAACAGGAGGGCGTATAACTTGTCGTCAGTGACAAATGACATTTTGTGTTATTATAAGCTACTAAAATCCTTGCTTCTGATTGGTTATCAGCAGATTGTCACTGATTTTTGTCATTGAAAAAGGGCTTTGTGAAACGCCCCCCAGAAGTCAGAATGAGAGGAATGGCAAGGTCTACTATAATACTGTTAGCTGATTGGGCGCGCGACACGGAAACTGTCCACAGTCGACTGGACCAATATTACATCCGGAGTCGCACTGTCGCTCTCCCCCCTAAAACAAAGCGAATAATGAAACATTGATAATGAAAATATAAAAAACGAAAATGCAACCTGATATAATGTGAACCGTCTTTAATGATTTTCTGGTTCCCCCTCTCTCCGCTCCCTTCATCATTCTCTCTTTTTTTAGTTGTTGCTGTTGGTGTTTAATGTGAGACTATCTAAAGTCTAAATAAAAATCTGCCTTAAAAAAGGGAAATATAATTGAAATACCTCGTGAACCTAATCATGATCTGTAACAGGAAGCAGAATCGGAAAACAAATGAAAGATGGCTCGTTTATGCACCCGTTCATCATTTGTCATTTTGGTCAATATCCCTTTAAGCTATCTGTTTTCGATGTTTTCTCTCAAGTTGTTTTCTGGATCATGGAAATGTATATAATTCACCTTTAATAGTGAACGTAAAAGGTTTTCATTTCAATTTTTCTTGAAGTTGTTAGTTTTATTTCGGTCTCCGGAAAGTCGGATAACACTTTACCATTAATCATGTATTGATATTCACCTTTAAAAGTGCACGTAAAAGGTTTTCATTTCCATTTTTCTTTAAGTTGTTAGTTTTATTTTGGTCTCCGGAAAGTCGGATAACACGTTAACATTAATCATGTTGTCAAATGAGTCGATTTCCTGTGGAAATATCCATTAGAAAGATCTTTTTCACTCTGGCTTTTTGCATCTTGGATAGAAATAATACATTCACCATAATCTGCCTCCGTGCATGTAAAAGTCTTATTAATCCTATGTTTGCACATCCATATGATTCCATCATAAATCAACTTAATATTTTGATACCGAGTGTAAACATACAGATAAACTTTATCCATACATAATTTTTTGTTTTCTTCTTTATTTCAAATCACTTTTGTAAGGTATCGATGCTAAACTCCCCTCCTATTCGATTTTACTGATCATAATCCCTATTTATCCATGTAAAAGATCTGCACATTCATCATGCATCAATGAATGTTTTATTCATTATTTTGCGTGACAATTCGTTGGTACTGTGTGCTCCCTTTTATGTTGCTTCAACCTTTCGTTTTCCTCAAAAACATTGCTATAAAATTCACCATTATCTCTTCCTGTGCATGAATGCAACAACTTTTTAGGTTCTCTATTTCAAATTTTGATTTTTCCCTTTTGATGGATTGGAGGTAAAGAAAGGGAAATAAAAAGGCAAAAGAAGCAACAATACCTACGCGGTTAAATTTTCAGGAATATTGGATAGATTCAATGTTCTTCTTTCTGTATTAGCCTCTTCTTATTCAACCTTTTATTTGATCTGAAGAAAATATTTTGTCACCGTGTGCTTTCTATAGGATATTCACCATTACCTTATTATAGATCTAAGAACTTCGTATGTTCATACGTCTATGTTACCTTACATATTTCTAGTTAAAGGAGGAGGGGCGATAAGATACTATTCTGTATGTCTGTGTCCCCCCCCCCCCCCCGATCTCAACCCTCTCCATCTATCTCTCTAACTTTTTCTTTCTTACTCGCAGTATGTCTCTCTCTCCCTCCCTCTCTCTCTCTCTCTCTCTCTCTCTCTTGTCTTTATATTGTACAACCCTCTTCTAATTCTTTGTTTTACAGCATCGATGAAATACTTGATATACAAATTAACAAAAATGAGACTCAATCAAACGATCGTATTAGTTTTTTTTAATGTTTTATTTTTTATTTTATTTCACATAAATTATGATAATCCTTTGTCTTTTTTTTGCACATTGCAACTTTCACTTCATTCTTTTCAATCTTGTCAGCACCAGCCAACTCTACTTTCTCCAAATCGATTGTGTTCTGAAACAAAATGATGAGGAAATCGAATCGATTTCGTCATGGTTGCCATTTTGTGTTCAGAACCGTCTGTATCACGTGATTCGCCAGCTCCCTTCCCGCTGTACATCCCCAACCCAAGATAACCTGCTTTCATCATCACAAACCAACACAATCCGACAAACACTCAAAAAGATTTAAGCTTTCAAGACAGAGAAGGATTTGAATTTCTCTTCAGTCGGAAAAACTTGAGGAGTGTTTCTAGATGTCAGTGAGGACATGGAAGTCAGGTTGCTTGAGCTACGAATGCTCGCAGTACTAGAGGAACTGAACAAATCACTTAACCATTATTGTGATAAGACGCTTTTCAAACTTTTCTCTTTACTTTCCTAGTCCTTGGCGTTTTCTTTGGCCACTACTCTTTTCTATACGCTTTCTATGGTCTTTTCAGCATAATGCCAATGATTAATCATATCTCATCAATAAATAATATAAATAGATACTTAAGACATTCTATCAGGTCATAATACTGTACCATTTTCAAGTCATTCTATTACATGTTAATCACATAATAATATCATATATAACGATCTTCATAGACATAAATCATTGGGAGCGTAAATTTAAAGCAATCTTCAAATATCTACGAATGCATAATGCAAGGATATTTTCATCTACTTGTGCTTGCTTCATAGGCCATTATATTGGTGCTGCAAGTGCCATATTAATATTCAAATGCCATCTTATATGTTTAGGGAGACGCCTTCCTAATGGTCTAGCCTTTTCTTTCGACCTTAAAACTGTTGATATTTCGTACTCGGCATAGACCCTGTTCGTGCTCCGAAACGACTGTCGAACTCCATTCGGGTTCTTTGCTCGTATTCGGAGCCATCTGGTCGTGACCTTCCGATTCCCTTCCCACAGGTTGATTCCCGATCCCAAGCATACAGATCTCCAGTCTTTCCCACTCAACGCGCGCGCGCATGTTTGCGAATCTCCAGAAACCTTCTAGCTCATCAAGGGTATTGAATTCGATGTATTAAAGGTTTCGGGTGGTTCGCTGAGGTTGTAATAGCTTTAGGGGAAACACCGAAAACCGGCCAGCATGAGAGGAGAATCTCCGCAGTACTAAAGAAACCGATAAGTCACTTCAATTCATTTGAGTGACCAGATGATTTCTTTCCTATTCTCCCTGTATCTGTTCTCATCATAGTCATTCTAGACTATCAGGTTTGAAAATAGTTCGAGCACTGAAGCTCTTCTGTCTATTCTGGTTTGATTGCTCATAGTTATAAAGAGCCTGATTATATCCTGATTGGATGTTTAATCCATCATCTATCATCAATATCATTCGAATCTTAAACTACAGCCATAAATCATATATACATATACATATCAATATCAAATATCATATCATGGCAAGATTATGAGATATTTCTCCTCTGTGCTTTGGTGATGACCTTCTCAATGTGTTTCCATGAGGGTCGTAGACGAGCTTTAACATGGGTCATCTCATCTGCTAGGTCACGCAGAGGTCGACTCCTAATCACCTTCTCGATACGAGCCAGGACCTTGCCTAAGGAATAGATGTCAGTTTGAATAGTCATGGGTTGTAGATCTAGGATGTACTCTGGAGCCAGATGCGGGAAGAGGGTGCCCTTCTTGTACCCTTCTAACTCCTCTTTGGGTAGCTGTTTGTGCCTGAGTGGTATGGTCTGGGTAGAGACTTTGCCCATGTCAATGATGAAAGCATGCCATCGTTGATCTTCAAGGTCCCATTGTAAGAGGATGTTATTAGCTTTCAGGTCGTTATGCAAGAGACCTTTCTCATGCATGGCTTTCAATCCGTGGATGATGTCCATCATGATGACGAACCAATTTTCTTTGGAGAGAGCTGGAATTTGGAACTTGATAGCCTGACTGAGCGTGTAGATTGTACCGGTGTTCTTATCACCAAGGAACTCGAGGACAAGTGATGGAGCACCTCCGATGTCAACGATGCCGACTGTCTTCGGGAATGAGGGGTGGTCAGCGAAGGCGAGATTGACTAGGGCTTCCATGGTGGTACGAGCGTGATCGGCTTTGATTCGAACCATCCTCTTTTCATCATCTTCATCCCTGACTCCCTCGCCGTTGTAAGGCACTTTGACGGCTACAGCCTCGCCTTGGTACTGCCTCAAGAATACTTTCCCGAATGAACCCTTTCCGACGAGATCATCATCCCCATCGACGTTGGCTCCGACCAGGAATGAAAGGTCTTCAGACTTGATGACGGGCACCTTCACATCTGAAAGAATCCTATCAATCACAGCTCGGTCTATGTAGTTCATGTTGTCATACACCGAGTCCTCTTCATGGAGCATGTTCTTGTGGAAGCTGTACGTGAGTGAATCAATTTACAAAATGTTTACATGTTTCATGACTTTTTTTTATTTTTACAATAATATACAATAAATTACAATAAATTACAATAATTCGACAATAACTTAGACCATGTAGAGGACCTGTGAATGTATCCCCCTCCCCCCAAAAAACAACAACAAACAAACATAAACGGGTTTTCAAAGGGGTGCCATATCAGCCGAGGAAATCTTACATTGCCATTTCAATTCTATCTCATCATGATGAGTATTAATTATTGATTATATACTTACACAGAGAGTTGGTATCTGAGCTTCTTGATCAAACTTCCTTGTCTGCAGGTCTGGTATTGAAAATCTTCTAACATCTCCTTCAGTTCACATCTCTCTCGCTCTCTAGGACTGAATAAAAGAAGACACATTGCATTTTGTTGTTAAAGGTTACGTCGAAAAATTTAACCTAACTTTGACTCAAACTTAACTTCACGTTTCTATCCAGGTGTGGAATTATTTTGACAAATGTGTTTGGAAACATATTTTGATTCATTACAAATATTTCATTCTAATTCAAGTTTATTTATATTTCATCTGCAGATAAGATTAAATAATTTACCTTTTCTCTGCAGCCGAATCTCCGCATTCAAGAAGGGGATCTCCGATACCAGGAATGCTGATCTAAGAGAGTAAACAAAATCAGAATACGGAAATTGTATTCGTTTATCTCAAATTAACAATGCTAAGATTTGCAGTCATTCCTACTTAATATATAAATATAAGACTTCTATTCTTCATCTAATCTATTAACAATAACATTACATGTATCAACAAATAATTTCTATTTTAAACACAAAAGCAAGTGAAACTGTTACCAATGTCGCCAAATTTAATGACAAACTCCAGGAAAATAAAATGAGGATAAATGCGATATACACTACACTAAATCAAATTTAATGGTGTGACGTACCATATCTTCGGAGGTCTCTTTGGTCTTCTTCAAATTGACAATCTCGAGTTTCATATTTGAATTGAGTTGTTTCATGTCGTCGAGAGCCTGGAACAGGTCAGTGATGCACATTGAATCCCCAACCGTTTCTACAACACCATACCGAATGGCGGCAGCAGCCACAGAAGCTTTCATACTCTGAAAAATAAAAAAGAGATAAATAATTAAGGAATTCTTAACGACATGCACATATAATTATAATTGATTAAGTTGGGGATTTTGTCCATTTGAATTGATCATACCGTTTTCGTCCCATTACTGAAATTTACTTTATCTTTTACTTTAGTTCTGAGTGCTGGTACACAGTACGATTATATTTAAGCAGAAATGAAATCCACCATTTTAAAGACCGACTAGCGGAGCTAATTGGTAACTGATGCCTTTCAAAATAGAACACTGTCTTTGATTCTAACCCAGACGTCCTGTTTCAAGACCTTTGCTCTATCCAAGAAACCTGTCATTCTTTCGTATTTCTATTAAATTATTCGTTACTTCTTTTTGTTCTTCTTTCTGTTGGCCATCTACATGTACTTAAACTTTGCTGTCCTGATCGTTATCTTATAAAAACCTATGCTCTGTTCTGGAGTTTCTGTCCATTTGTTGTTGTCTTTTAAGACAGTGTAAGAATAGAAAATTATAATAGCCATACTGAGATGGGATCTTTCTTACCTGAAGCTCATCCTCTAGTTGCTTCTGTCTATTCTCAGCTAGAAATAATTTCTTCTCCAGTAGATCGAGCATTTCTACCAAAGTGAATGCTCTACCTTCAAGCTCCTATATAAGAGATAAAGGTTTGCACAATTATGTTCATTTACCATCTCCGCCATCATCATTACTAGTATTTTTCAGCAGATAACCATTTGTTGTCATAAGTTCATATTCCTGAGGAGAACAAGTATGTCTAGCATATGTGCCTGTACATGTAGATTGGAAAGCAAATGTTGCTTTGAATGTATTAGGAGTTGTATTGGAAATTGCGAAAAATGTCGACTACTTTATTTCTTTTTACTAATGTAGCTTTTGCTTATTAAAAGTCTGGTTGAATGGTAAAAACAGGGCATCGATGTGCTTATTTAAATATGCACGCGGATTCTAAGCGTTTTCCGAGATATCATTTCAATTCCCCCCCCCCCAAAAAAAAAAAGAAGAGAAGAGAAATAAAATAAAACTAAAATAATTATAATGATAATAAATAAATAAATAAATGAAAAAATGTTAATGTTAATTATTGTTTTTACTAACCTCATTGCTTTTCTTCTGGAACTCTATTTGGTGTTTTAGACCTCTGTTATGAACGTTAAGATCTTTGTTATCAGCTTTGTAATCAGCAACCTTATTCTTGGCAAGCTGTAGGGATGTCATAATACAGTAAAGTTTAGATTTATTAGTGACAAATAGAATAATGTGACAATTCAATAATGACTATGTAAGTTATTTAGGACTCATGAGTACTAGAATTTCAATGAAAAGAAGAAAAGAAAGAATGCCAAAGCCGGTAGAATTCCAATAATGAATATTTTATTACCTGACACAAAAATTCGAGGCAATATAATGTTTTCTTTCTTCTTTAGAAAGAAAAAAAACACAATCTATATCTTTATGGTCATAAACTGGTAGAATAAAGTTTTTACCTTGATTTCATACTCGAGTATCGTATTCTTCTCTTCAATATTCAATCTAAGTTCTTCGGCTTCTTTGAACTTTTCCATGGCTACCTTGTTTTGCTCGGAGAAATCCTGGAATGATGAAAAGGATATATAAATTAGAAAATTTTACATATATCTTTGTAAAAACACAATCAACGGTATAAAACTTAATACTTCGTATGAATCACTACCATTCTCGTTTATTTCTGTGTTAATTTTTGTATCATTTTCTTTATTTGTTTTGTTGTGTCTAGAATGTTGAGATAGTCATGCAATATCATATTCTCACCAGGCGTTCTTTCTCAGCAGTCTCTAATTTTCTCCGAAGTTCTTTCCTGTCTGTCTGTAGGTATGCAATCTTCTGGTCGAGTATTTTAGTCGCTTTGGGGATAACATCCAGTCTTACATCGGATTCCTGAATAATCATGAACAATTTAAATATGAATTTATTATTTTGTATGTCGTATTGAAGACGATGATGATGATAATAATGCTAATAAAGGTGAAGATTTATTTATCATGCGAAACAAACTGAAATCCTAACCAATAACATAATGCAATGACTATAATAACTATGTATTAATTACTTTGTAATCTGCAACTACAATCATGAAGTAATATAGAATACTTGGAATACATTGTTAAGGTGTCTTAGATAGACCTTCAGTCCAAGTCGGAAGGTTCACGGAAACCTTGGAACCTGTGAAACCTTTGCAAATTGTGACTATTAAATCAGACCCCATTGAACCACACATTACTATATATAGCTTTAGATTGTGACATCCTTATTATATTGTGTTTGTAATCATCAACTAATTTTGTTTCTACCTGGCATTCCTTGCGGCTGTCTTCAAGTTGAACGCAAATTTCTTCCTTTTCCTCGATCAACTTTGAAGCGAGTACATGTTGATTTTCGCCGTCATGACTAACAGACTCGAACTGATCTTTCAGTATCTATCAGAATAAAGTAAATCAAATTTATTAAAGATTGGTTCAATTGTACATGTATCATGAGATGGGTTACTATCTTTTTAATAGTGATAGAACGTGTGTTTAAAAAAATAATGTTAATGGAAATAGTTTATACTTTGGTACCATGATATTATGAGCATTTTGTTTCAAGTTAAGTCAATTATAGGTTTATTATTTTAAAAATACAACAAATTTGATAAAGAAATATTCAAGAAAAATGTTATTTTCACCAATAGCACGATATCGGAAATTATGAGAATATCTAAATTTCACAAAATTGTCGTCAAGATTACTTCTCAAATGAACGGAATGTCAACAAAATTCATATATATAAATAAAAGCATTTCAATTCTAAGAGGAAAAATGACCGTGATAATCTTCTAAATACCTGATATTGTGTCTGACTGCTTTGAAGTTGTGTCAAAAGATCGGTCCTTTCTTTCTCCCATTTCAAAGTTTCTACTTCAAATTCCGCTTTCTCGCCTTCTGCAGCGGCGACTTTCTGTTCTAAGATCTGTAGAAAATAGGAAAATATATACATTTAGAGGTTAGAAGAATAAAAGAGATTCATGATGTAATTACGTAACCCGTCTATAGAACGCTTGAAGCTACGACGCGAAGTCATCAAAATCTAAGCGTAAAGAAAGTCACATTTGATTTGATATTGAGGAAAGATTCATATTATATAAGGATAAATTGTTTATTCTTTTGAATATGAGCCAATAAGTGAAAGACATCGACAAATCTGCGAATTAATGATATATGTTCTCATTTATAAAATGAGGAGACTGTAATTTTGTCCTTATTTTAGAATACATGTCCCTATTTGAATAGCACTGGAAAATAATCCATTGTAAAGTCTCTTTAAAATGTATTACCTGACATAGCGCCATATTTTTCTCAAGCTCCTCGAATAGTCCATCCTCTAATTGACTCTCAACCGATGAAGTTTCCTGGCGGAGTTTCTCATTGCTTTGGCTCAGAATTTCAACTTCTTCCTGGAGATGCTGGTCGTAAGAAATTTTTAGAATAGATATAAATATGTTAAAGAATACCCGTGATTTTTGTTTTTGTTAAAGTATGTTTGTAACAAAACGAAAACACTTCACCATAACTTGAAAACTTAAACTCGGCAAAAAAGAATTGTGATAGGAAAGAACAAATTCTTACTGCATAGAAGTTTAACAATTACAATATTACAAAAATATAATATGTACACAAATTGCGGCTAAAATTTTGCCTTCATCATTATATTTCAAAGCGTTGAATGTGTCAGAAAACATGATTTTATAATGACATATATTCCATGGTTGCTATACTGTATATACCTTGATTAGATTACGCGTGGATCCGAGTGAAGTAGAAAGGAGTTTATTTTCCTCCTTCAGTTTGGTAGCAAGTTCTTGCTTCTCGCCTTCTGCTTCTAAAGAATCCAGTTTATCTTCCAAAACCTGTTAGGAAGAGATGAAACTTGTTTCATATACATTTTCCTTTTCAAAGTCAAGAGAAGAGAATTTATGATTTCACAGTTTCTTTTCAAAAGGTATTTCAGTCGTTGCACATACATATAAGTCCTTCTACAGTACACAGTGTATTTTATATTTTTAGATGTAACAATTAATTAATTTACTAATTAGCCAATCAAAAGGTCAAGAACAAAGACTGATTGATGTTTGAAAAGAGGATCGTTATAGGTATGTGGATTCGAGGTAACTGGTACTTGCAATTCAAGTATCAGACTTTGGTTTTGTCCATGCACTTTTGCAAAGTATGAAAACAATGAAAAAAAAATTAAGAAATAATGTATTAGTCATCTATTAACATGTATGTATAATGAATCATCGTTTGAAGTGAAGCTCATTTTTTAATGATTATCTTTTATCATGTAAAATCATAGCTGTTAAAATCCATCAAATAACTTGACTTACATGCCTCTCTGTGTAAGCCTGCCCTAACTCAGTTGATAGCCTATAGTTATCGTCAGCCAAGTTGTCAGCGAGAGATTGAAACTCTAGCTTCTCCTCAAGTAAAATGTCGAATTCTTTATCCAGGTCCTATGAGAGAGAGAGAGAGAGAGAGAGAGAGAGAGAGAGGGAGAGAGAGAGAGAGAGAGAGAGAGAGAGAGAGAAGAGAGAGAGAGAGAGAGAGGGGAGAGAGAGAGAGAGAGAGAGAGAGAGAGAGAGAGAGACGAAGAGGGGGTGGGGATAGAAAGAAACGAACAGACAGACAGACAGACAGAGGCAGAGTGAGAGAGAGAGAGAGAGAAAGTTAAGTAATTATATCATTGTTCAATAGAATAATGTAATTTCGTTATGAAAGTAATACACATTGTATATCTGTAATATTGATATATTTTTCAAAGCTTTCTCAAAGGTTCTTTATATTCCTAATTTATTCAAAGTTACCTGATATTTCTGATTGGCCTCCTCAAGCTGAGTTGAGAGATCGTCTTGTTTCTCTGCCTGACTTTCAGGTTGTTTCTTTTCAGGATCTGTTTTCTTCCTAATAACCTGGATTTTCTCCCCCAGTACCTTAATGAATACATTGAATACTATGTTGTATAATACAATGTACTTCAAAATATCGAGGGGGGGGGGGGGGATACATATAGAATATATACAATTTGTATTAAGCCACTGGTATAATAATACCTCTTACATAGAATAATTGTAATAGTCTAGTTTGTACATATGATTTGTTTTTTATTCTCATTTCCAATCTCCGTTTAAATTACGTGGTGTTTTTTCCAAGGGTTTGGGTCTGTACTTTATCCTATGCAACTCAAGCTATATAAGTTATTAATGTTGAGTCATTTTTTTTCTATTTGATTTCATTGCTTTAGATAGTAATTGATTATACTTTGCAAACTGATTTTCTATCTTGTCCTAATCTTTGTAATGAACTTGTTACATTTTGAATCTCTCTCGTTAAAACAAACTTACTCAGAAGAACAACATAATAAGAAAATGTACCTGACGTTGTTTGGGACCCGTCCTGAGTTGAAATTTCTGTTCATGTCTCTCCTCTGTGAAACTATCAGAGCGAGGCTGGAATGATTCTTTCTCCTCTTGCAGTGGTTTTATCTCGTCGTCCCATTCTAGACCGCCCTCTTGGTCCTCAACCGTGAAACTCTCTTCTGGTTCCTAGGAAGAATGATTAAGAAAATTGTAACACAATTATGGATGGTGGATTTATTAATGTTACTTGGGAAAACACTAACTTTTTCCGTTGTCCGTTACTAGAATGTTTTTGATTTTCCTCCCTGTCCTAACCTCTGTGATGAACTTGTTAAATGTTCAATCTATCTTGTTTAAGCAAACTCACTCAGAAAAACAAACTATAAGAAAATTTACCTGACGTTGTTTGGGGGCCTTCCTGAGTTGAAAAGTCTGGTTATATCCCTCTTCTTTAAAACTATCAGCGCGATGTTGGAATGATTCTCTCTCCTCCTGTAGTGGTTCTCTATCCTCTGGCAGTGGTTCTATGTCGTCGTCCCATTCAAAATCATTATCTAGATCCTCAGCAGTGAAACTCTCTTCTGGTTCCTTTAAAAAATGAATAATAATTTCTGGTTTAAGGCACGAACTTCAAGGCAGGATGACTAAGAGAAGAGTAACAGAATTATATGGGTTGTGGATTTTTGTTTACTTGGGGAAAATACTAACTGTCTCCGTTGTCCGTTTCTAGAATGTCATTTGTCTATGTTATGTTTAACGCAGGTTTTTTAAAAAACATTTTGACTTGTGATTGTGTATTTTGTATACCTGATATTGTTGGTGACGTTTACTGAGCTGAGCTGAAAGTTCGTCTTTTTCTTTCTCCAAGCTGATAGTACGAACTTGCAGTTCTTGTTTCTCCGCATACACAGCCGCGAATCCCTCTTCCAATTCCTATCAAATTGAATTCAATTTGCACAGTAAATCTACATTAAGCAAATATGGAGCTGGAGAAAAAACAAAAGTCATGGAAAAAAATTGTAACTGAAGGTATAAGATTGTCTATACACCTATTTTCGATATCGTTTTAAGTTTAACTCATTTTAATCTTTCGAGGATATTGTCATTACGCAATGGATATAAAATAAACCTATCGAAACATAGAGTATTAGAGTATTTTCAATCATCATTGAGAGTTCATACCTGGTATTGTTTGCGAGTCTCACTGAGCTGAGCCGACAAATCATCTCTCCCCTCTTCCATGATTTCTGCGCGAGATTGAAGCTGTTCTTTCTCTTCATTCACAGCAGTTAACTGATTGTCCAGTTCCTACATGCATATCAAATAAAATATAAATAAGATATGATTTAATACACACATTGTTTAATTGGTATAATGTTGTTTATTAATGCATTTTGAATATGTACTTTCATATAATATGTGTTAATTAAAGACAATGATATTGTCTTAATTATTATATTATCATTGATGTAGAATACATTAATGCCACAGTTTATGTAATGTAAACCAACAGCGTGATAATTTACTGTCTGTTTATCTCGCCCACATTGTTGTATACTATGAATCAGATATATGTTGATAAGAATCTATACTTGTCTTGTATTTATGTTTGGCACATCTGATTGATTTGCAGGGTTTTCTTTATGCGATGATGATGATCAACAAATAAATGGGCTCATCACCCAACCTACCATCAAGCTGCTCTCAAGTTTCTTTATTGCTGCCTTATCCGTATTACGACAAATTATACAAAGTCATTTGCATAAGAAAAACACGTATAAATCCAATTTCCTACATTTTCCCCGCTTGGGAATCTTTTGCCCACAAAAGAATAAAATGAATTACAGGTAAATTTCAAATTCATCTCTGTTTATAAACATACTTGTATATGATATACATTATTATAAATTGTTTTACATATGTTATACACATACCAGTTTTGTTTATATATACATGTAGTTTACATTCCAAAACACTCTTAATACAATTTGTTGCACTCAGATGACCTGGAAATAATCTGTAATCCAACATTAATACCTGTATGCAAACATCTGATAAAACGATATTCTTTTTTATGCATTTACACATACAAATTTAAATGCCAATAGAATAAGCATACATATGCAAAGTATCATCAAAACAGTAATTTTCTTCTCTTCTTCTCACATATATATACCCGAAAGTTGACATTCGTTGTTTCAATACTCCATATTCATCAACTCCACAAAATACATAAGGTATTGAATTTGAACACAAACATTTCAGCAAATAGGAAATAGGAAATAGGAAAGGGTAGAATATATATAAACAGGTCCAAGCTCTTCCCCGCTTGTTTCAGGATACACACTTCCAACTCACAACAATGCGCTACCTTATCGACGATCTGGGTAGATGATGAGGATTACTGTGCGTTCCCTTTGATGATCTACTTGATCGCCTTGGATTAGGTATTTCCTGATTGACAGTTACTTGTGAATCTTCTATTTCAGTTTGACCATCGTATATCCATTGAAAGTCATTCTGATCATCCTCATCACTACTGTCATCATCTTCATCACTACTTGAGTCACTTTCTTCGACATCGTTCTCATGATAGTTGTCAATATCGTCTCTGCCATCATCTGGTAGTACTTCATCTAGTTCATTTACTTCTGCTCGAGGATCCAAAATCAACCTTCTACGATTCACCCATTTAGGTACTCCTCCCATGGTAGGTCGTATCTTGAAGAGATCATTCTCATCATTCTTCTCGACAATAACGTAAGGTATCTCATAGAATTTGTCTTCTAGCTTGTGTCTCTCAGTGAAAGCATTTCTCTTCAGGAGCACTCTATCACCAACTTCCAATGCAGGATTAGTGACGTGGTCATCTTGCGCTCTTGCTGCCTTATCAGCTGCTTCACTCAGTCTATCTGAAACAATCTGGTAGGCCCTGTCGATCAAGTCTGCTTGTGTCTGGATATAGTCTTGTTCCCATTCATTGGACACATGGTTCAAAAGTTGATCAATGGGTAGGGTCGGCTTCCTAGCAAACATCAAAAAGTAAGGTGAGACCCTGGTTACCTTGTGAGGGGTGGTATTGTAGATGTAGACAATATGCTGCAAAAGTTCTGGCCATCGACGTCGTTCCCCTGGTTCTAGAGATCGAATCAGCCCACACAACGTCTTGTTAAAACGCTCGCACTGACCATTACCAGCAGGGTGGTACGCTGTAGTGCGTGATTTCTTCATGCCATACAACTTGCAAAGTTCCAGAATAATCGTATTCTCGAAAGACCTTCCTTGGTCGGAATGGATTCTTCCTGGAATACCATAATGTGTAAACCAGGAATCACGCAAAGTCTTGGCCACTGTCAACGCTGTCTGATCCCTGCAGGGCACTGCTTGGCAATACTTGCTAAATACATCCGTGATTACTAACACATCCTCGTAACCACCTCTGCCCTTATCCAGCTTCAGAAAGTCAACAGCTACTATCTCCTGGGGCCGAAATGCAAGTAGATGCCTTTGGGGAGGGCAGATAGCTGGCGTAGGTACCTTTGACATAGTACATCTATAACACTTCTTGATGTAAAGTCTTACTTCCCCACTCATTCCTGGCCAATAGCATCTGTCTCTCAGTAGGTTCACTGTTCTGTCCACTCCTTGGTGGCCCCATCTGTCATGAGTCAAATTCAGCATGGTTTCTCTCAACACTTGGGGTACTAACAGCTGTCGTACCTTGCCAAGAATGGCATCATCCACCTCCCTATACAAGACCCCTCGATATTCTCGATATCGTGACCACTGTCTCAGCCATCCAGATAAACACGGCATCGAGGTATCGAAGTCCTGACCAGGCATCCATCCCTTCTTCCACAAACGCGAGACCTCTTGCAGAACTTCATCTTTCTCTTGGAGATCCGCAAGCTCAGCATAGCTGTAAGAGGGCAATACATTGACACTGTGCTCTTCACTAACCCTTCTCACCTCAATCTTCTGACATCCTCTCAAAGAAGATTGATCATCCTTGGGTAGCTCCGTAGAACATGTCACCTCACTTAGCACTGATGCGACTTCTGCACTCGACATGTCTTCTGGTCTCCTACTAAGAGCATCAGCGCATCGGTTACTCTTACCCGACCTGTACTTCACCTCTATATCAAAGGGTGCCAGTTGTGCGACCCATCTGGACTCAGTGGCTCCTAACTTCGCTGAGTTTAAATGCGCCAAAGGGTTGTTATCTGTCAACACAGTACAGTGAGCTCCCATGAGATAGGGTGCAAACTTTTCCGTCACAGCCCATTTAAGGGCAAGTAGTTCAAGTTTGAAACTGCTCAAGTCTGCATAGTTCTTCTCTGCCCCTCGCAAACTCCTGCTTGCGTATGCGATAGGATGGGGTCGACCATCATCTCCATTCTGAAGTAAGCATGCCCCAAGCCTTTCAGGGAAGCATCCGTCTCCACGATGAAGTCCTTGTCAAACTTGGGGTAGGTAAGCACTGGGGCACTAGTAAGTTGCGACTTCAAACTTACAAATGCATCTTCTTGTTCTTGTCCCCACTCGAAGTCTGTCTTGCTGCTTTTCCCTTTCAGAGCAACCTTATGCAGAGGACCAGCCATGTGAGAGAATCCTTCCATGAAGCGACGATAATAGGATGCTAATCCTAAGAACGAGCTAACTTCCTTGCCATTCTTGGGTCGTGGCCACTCCTGGACTTTATTCACCTTTTCAGGATCTACCCTGACTCCTTCACTTGTTACTACATGTCCAAGGTACTTGACCTCTTGGCGGAAGAATTCACACTTCTTGCCTTTCACCTTGAGTCCGTTCTCTTCAAGTCGTGTTAAGACCAAGTCCAACCTCTCCAAATGCTGCTCAAGAGTAGAAGAGAACACCAAAATATCATCCAGATACAATATAACTTGGCTAAGATTAAGATCTCCCAGAATATACTCCATCGTTCTCTGAAATGTACCTGGACTATTACAAAGTCCTTGGGGCATCCTGGTAAACTCGAAAAGTCCCCAAGGAACTCGGAAAGCCGTCTTGTCCACTGATGCAGGGTCCATCACTACTTGGAAGTAGCCATGTGCTAGATCCATTGTGGAGAAATACTTGGCATCTGTCAGTGCATCCAAAGTTTCCTCTATCCTAGGTAATGGAAACGAATCTCTTACAGTGCGTTCATTAACCTTCCTGTAATCAATGCATAATCTGAGTGATCCATCCTTCTTCTTCACAAGAACAATGGGGCTTGCATACGGACTTTTTGATGGGCGGATTATCCCTTGATCCAACATCTCCTGGAGCATCTTCTTGACATCATTGACCAACGTTGGGGGTATGCGCCTGTAAGGGAGCCTAATCGTAGGTCCTTCAGTCATCTGTATCACGTGAGGCACAACACTGCATTCCCCTAAATCAAAGCTTCCTGATGAAAACACTGTAGCATGCTTGTCGAGCAACTGTGTCACCAACATCTTAGCTTCGCTGGAAAGTCCGTCCAACTTGACTCCAGTAGGAAGATCCGGAAGACCGTCATCTGTTTCCTTAATGTCAATATCCGACATTACACTTTCAGATACCTTGTCATCTTCTGCTTCTTCTGCAACCACATCACGAACAGAAACCAATATCTTGTCCTCCTCAAGGTCAAGACAAACCTCTTTCCTTCTTTGGACCATTACTGCTTCTGCTACCTGAGTGTGAGATGGTAAATGAATAATGTTCTCCGATCTGTTAGCCAGCAGCACTTCCACTAATTTCCCATCAGGTTCTTGGCACCCTTCTATTGCATTGATTGCGTAGACTGGGCGTGTTGCATCTCTCACCAATATCTCTCCTATTGAATGACCATCTGTCTCTATTTGACACCTTACCCTTCTTATGCTAAAGGGTTGAAGAACTTCAACACACCCAGTCTGTACAGGGATAGGTGAGCAGGAGGCCGCTGTTCTCTCATTCACTTTCTGCTTCGCAGACTTCAGAACATCAATTAACCCTGACGGACCGATAGTGTCAAAGATATTACATCCTATCAGGACGGGATACTCCGGTGTAGTAGCCGTAGCATTGTGGCATGCCCTGTCCGCTGCAATCATAAAACTTCCAAGGAGGGAATATCCTTCCAGGTGTATTGGGACTTCGATGTAGCCCTCAATTGGGATATCTATCCCACCGATTCCCACGATATCTAGAAATAGTCCAGACATTGAGTGCAGCTCCCCCAGATGTACCTTCAGCTGTTCATGGTATACCGAAGCGGGTATTATGGACGTTTCCGCTCCCGAGTCTAATACACATCCTATGTCCAAGCCCCCGATGGTCACTACCGACTTTGGACTTCGTGATACAAGTCTCTTTATCAATGGATCTACTGACCCCTCCTTCTGACCTTGGATCAAACTGATGTTTGCTTGAGAGTTCTCTCGGGTATTCTCTGTACTCTTGTTTAAGGGACAGTCCTTCTTAAGATGCCCAGGCATCTTGCAAGAAAAGCACCTTCTGCTAGATGAACAATCATTCCTGTGATGGCCCTTCTCACCACAGTTGTAGCAAATGAGCTTTCTTCCTTGCCATTCCTTCTGTCCACCACTGTATTCCTTCTGTCCACCACTGTTCCTTTGTAAATTCTTTACAGCCTCTACTAATTCACTAACTTGTCTCGTTAAAGAAGATAGGTCGTCCTTCAGTTCTCTGACTTCATTTCTCTCTGTAGTTGAGGGGGTTGCCACCAGTGCTTCCTGGACTTTCACTTTTGTTGAAGGCTCCTGATCCCTGAAAAGATCCAACACTTCCTCACGCATTTCCAGGAACTTTTTCCCTTTAGAGGCCATCTCTATTCGTCGAAGTTCTCTCTTTATCCCGGTGTCTCTCACTCCCCGTACAAAGTTTTCCTTTAGAGAACTGTCGCGAAGAAGCTCAAGGGCCCTCCTCTCATCTGTAGAGGAGGCTGCCTTTTCCATGCGTGAATACAGTCTCATCAATACACGGCTATAATCAGCAAGACCTTCACCTTCTCTCTGGATTCTTGTGTGAAATTCAGCACTCAGTGACTGAACAGATTCTGCAGGTCCAAACAGTGAATTTAGCACATCTACTAGCTGATCAAAGTCCTCTCTTACTGACAGATCCCTACACAGAACTTCTTCCTTCACGACACCGACAAGATGATCGATTAATGCTTGAGCCTTGTCTTTCCCTTCAAGCCTGTACCTCTTGGCATAAACAGCAAAATCATCCAGCCATTCCTTTAATGAAGGTTCCCCTGGGGCTCTTGGTGGACCTTTAAACTTTTGAAGTTTAATCTTTGGTGCAGGAGTTGTCTGTCGTAGAGCTAGTCCTTGCATGACACCTGTCAACGCCTGCAGCATCTCTGCCATACTCGTATCTTCAGCCATCGTTACAAGGGCTAAATGAAACTAAAACTGCAAGTACAAGTTAGTAAACAATTGGCAATAATTATATTTATTGGCAATAATGACTGTGTTTACAACTAAACTTACACCAATACTTGGAACTGCAACAAATTAATATTGCATGCAAAAAAACAACTTTGACTCGTTAAAGTCCTGTGACACTCCAAGTGTCTTTCTTGACCAAGGGGTTTTTCTCCTTCAGCTGATGAACTCAGTCGTAGCATCTGCGATAATCTGCGATGATCCACAAACATCCGTATCCCATCCTCGTCGCCATTTGTCGTAATACGGATAAGGCAGCAATAAAGAAACTTGAGAGCAGCTTGATGGTAGGTTGGGTGATGAGCCCATTTATTTGTTGATCATCATCATCGCATAAAGAAAACCCTGCAAATCAATCAGATGTGCCAAACATAAATACAAGACAAGTATAGATTCTTATCAACATATATCTGATTCATAGTATACAACAATGTGGGCGAGATAAACAGACAGTAAATTATCACGCTGTTGGTTTACATTACATAAACTGTGGCATTAATGTATTCTACATCAATGATAATATAATAATTAAGACAATATCATTGTCTTTAATTAACACATATTATATGAAAGTACATATTCAAAATGCATTAATAAACAACATTATACCAATTAAACAATGTGTGTATTAAATCATATCCTACCCAAGGTCTCTGAAGCAACAAGCCGGAGCAGCTCCCGGCTCCCAAAATACAACGCAGTCCCAGCTAGACCACACTACAGCTTCCAGCAAACCTCGCTAGCATGTCGCCTATAACAAATCATTAAAACATCCTTATAGTATACTAATAACATATTATATAAAGTAACTCACCAATTAAATTATCATACAAATATTCCATGGGCGCCGCCATCTTTATCACAATATTAACACCATTCGCCCTCAACGGCGAAATCATTACAATCAATTATTCACGCACTAAATACAGGTAGGCGTTAACCACTAACCATTTAAATGACAATTTATCTAAACATCATATAGAATAAATGTAATAACATTTATTTAAACGATCAATGTAATTTGATTAACTGGATACCATATCCCTATGAAGACATACTATTCTGACTAACGGAAGTTGTCAAGTACAAAATCAAATACATTCTCCTTCCAAAATAATCCTTATTTTCCTCTCCTGAAGGACATAAAAACATTTCATAGACATGTATCAAAGCTTACAATCTTTACTATCAAAGTGACATTTAAAGAAAACAACTTACTTCGTTCAAAGGTGTAAAACGTAACAAGGGCGTTGCACACTAATAGACAGCCCGACACACGCACCACCTCCTTCGCCCGTGGCAAGATGCAATGTGTGCCTACGTATCTGCTATGTCAGGCAGATTCCCGCGCCCACATATAAAGACCTATCACAATTCTATAAACAAAATATCCTTCCTCTTTTTGCTATTCTTGTACAAACACCTTTTGAATAAAGTAAAATTAAGTTATTACACATTATATGCAATCTTATTCCTTTTTTACATAGACTCACAATATAACAATTCTTCCTCAAGATACCAAAACAAACTTATAAATCGAGGAACTACATTTCATTCACCGTATTTTTAAACGGCAGTTTTATGCAAATTATACAAAGTCATTTGCATAAGAAAAACACGTATAAATCCAATTTCCTACAGATTGATATTTGTATCAAAGAAACCGATGGAGATTAGGAGGCGGAGAACCGGCGAACCATACACTTAAAATAATTTCATGAATTCATTATATTTTATCATAGGTGAACATTGATTCAAAATCATATTGCTAAATCCTAACAAATAAGTATACCAATACTGCAAATGAAAGAAGGAACAGAAATGTTTTTTTTTTTAATAAAAATTAACTTACCCTCTTGTCCTTCTGTCGTTAGTATTATTATTTTCCATTCTTCTAGGCTGTGTTTAATGCAGGCTTTAAAACAAAAATTGAATTGTGGTTTTGTATTTTGTATACCTGATATTGCTGGAGACTTTTACTGAGCTGAGCTGAAAGTTCGTCTTTCTCATTCTCCAAGCTGATAGTACGAACGTGCAGTTCTTGTTTCTCCGCATACACAGCCGCGAATCCCTCGTCCAATTCCTATCAAAATGAATTCAATTTGCACAGTAAATCTACATTAAACAGCTAAGGAGCTGGAGAGAAAACGAAAGCCATGGAATTTCTTTATTCAACTGAAGATACAAGATTGTCTACGCATTTATTTTCAATATCATTTTAAGTTTAACTCTTCTTAATCTTTCGAAGATATGGTGATTACATTAAACAGATATTAATAAACCTAGTAATCATGATTGAGTGTTTTTACCTGGTATTGTTTGCGAGTCTCACTAAGCTGAGCCGACAAATCATCTCTCCCCTCTTCCATTCTGTCAGCGCGAGATTGGAAATGTTCTTTCTCTTCATTCACAGCTGTTAATTGATTTTCCAGTTCCTACATCAAATAAGAATAAATACTGGATGGATATTTGTGTCAAAGAAACCGATGGAAATTGACAGGCGAAGAACCTGCGAACAATACACTTACAATAATTTCATGAATTCATAATATTTCATCATAGATGAACAATGGTTTCAAGATCATATTGCTATACCAATACTGCAAATGAAGGAAGGAACAGAAAGAATTTTTTTTTTTTTTAAAGATTTAACTTACCTTCTTATCCTTCTGGATGGTTTTAATTTTAGAAGAAAGTTTGTCCTTTTCTTTCTTTCTCACTTCCATCCGACTTTCGAACTCCTTGATTTGGTAGGTAGCTTTGAAAAACCTTTCCTCCGCCTCCTGTTGATCACAAGAGAAGGAAAAAAGACATCGCGCAATAAACATCATGAAATACTCAATTTCTGATGATTATTTCCGATAGCGTAGCCTGCAAAAGAATGAGGCGACGTCTGCCCATCCCCCCCCAAATCAATGTCACTTGCAGAGGGTAACATACAGGAAGCCCAAGAAACCTACAAGAAATCACCCCGTTTTGCTTATTTCTGGGTATTGACAAGATTCATATTTACCCTTTTCTCTATAAAGCTTATAGGCTAGAGGAAATGGGGTAATAGCGGTACATTTTGTTATTTTATTTGATACACAGCTATCTTTATAATTATCACTTTCATAACAAATGAGGTTATTCTGTTAAATCCCATTTATGAGGGTGGTAGTACTTGTTTTAATTCTAACGAATAATGCTCTGTGCTCTCAGAAGAATCCTATACAAGTAATTTAATTCTTGACAATATTCTCGTGTTGGCCAAGCTACCTGACAGTTTTGTTGACTCTGCTCTAGTTCTGTGTAGATGTCGGCCATTTTGGTGTTCAAGTGAGCGATCTTTCCTCGCAGCTTCTCAGCATCTTGAGTCATGGCTTCAATCTTTTCCTCGTTGTCCTGTGAAAGATTATAGTTAACATCAGTGTGCTGATTGTCCACTTAAAACCCGCGAGCCCGGACCAACCAAATTGTATCGATAGGGTATAGTAAACATAATTATATTTAAAATCATATTTGCCCCGACTTGAATGCAAAACATTGTATTCCTTGATAGTTTTTACTAAATTGAATTCGGGAAAGTGTTATTGTGTCCGGGGGAAATGCACGAACCTTTAAGTAAAGATATACAGACTTTGAAATTTTGTTACAGAAAACGTTAGTTAAAGATTTGCGAATGTAGGCTTACTTTAAATTTTAAAAAAATGAAGAGAGTCGCGTTTACATGTATTTTCAGTGGAGAAAGCTCATGATTATATTTCCTTTTTATTATAATTTCATTAATTTGTTTTGTCATTAATTATTGTAAAATCATTTACATCTGACTAGTTTTTTAAAGAAAAGATTGTTAAACATTTTAAATTGGTAAACAAGCGGTATAAATAATCTCTAAAACTAAAATTTACTTCTTGGACCACGACTACGTTGACCACCTTCTCCTTGCGAGAGGTATGCTGGGTCTTCACGCGGTGTTTCTCCTTTTCTTCCTGAAATAAAATGTTGAAAATATCAATAGTGAAGAGTATTCATTCTATCAAACAATCAACCAAAATACATGCATATGTACATTTTATCAGAAGATATTAACTTTCAATTTTGATGATTGGAAACTATTGATGATATTTCGATATTACCAAAATACATGCATATGTACATTTTATCAGAAGATATTAACTTTCAATTTTGATGATTGGAAACTATTGATGATATTTCGATATACCAATATAAATAGCTTAAGATTTAAAGAAGTATTGAAAATGAGCGAATGTCTATGGCGGATAATATTCCTTAATATCTCTGTTGTTTCTTTTTACCTTTAGTTTAGACTTTAGATGTTTTAGCTTTGACTTCAGGTGAGAAACCTCAGTGGCATGACCGATGTTTTCTGTCAGAAGGCCTTCTTTTTCTCGCAGTGCGGACTGTATCAAAGCAATGACAACAATGGTGATTAGGATAAGGATTTAATTTTGCTCGTAAAAAGAACTAATCACAAAAAGAAAAGGCTTGGTAAGCGATAAACCATATTTTTCTACCTTTTTTAAAACCCTATCTCTCCTTTTCTATTTCTGTTTCTTTTTTGCTTTTCTGTAATTTTGTTCTTCTTCCTTTCTCCTTTCTTTCTTTTGTTTTCATTTATGTACTTATCTTGTTTGTTCTCCTTCTTCTTTATTTTTTCTCATCTCCTCTTTTTTTCTCATTTTCCTCTTGTAATTCTCGGTAAGCGTCCATATTGTACTTGTCTTTTTGATAAAATCAAGCGAATTTTATTCTAAAGCCAATGATGCTCTAACAATCAGACTTCAATAAGATAGATCAAATAAAAAGACGAGCACAATGATTGATTTAGTTCCTACCTGCAATCGTTCTGTGGTACGTCTCAGAAGGAGACCCGAGCACTCATACTCGTCAGAACATCGCTGAATCAAAGTGATTGATTCCTGGCGTTGATCTATCAAACCCTGAAACGACAAAGAAAATAACAAAACATATAAAAACACCCATGCAAGTCAATAAATTAAAATATTGTTGGCAACTGCATATATTTTTCCGATTCCGTCACTGCAAGGCCAAGGAAATATGAAACAAAGTTACATGTTCATGACAGTTTTCTTTTGTTTCCGTTATGTATGCTTTGGTCAAATTCGCTTTTACTCTAAATTCATGATCACGAGAGGATTTTTTTTCTTTGTATAGATACATATATTTGGTTGATATTATTATTGGCGATATGGTGGTTTTTTCATCTTTGTTTACTCATTACCAAGTATATGCATTGCATACCAAAACAAAATAAGGGATAACCTGTACCTTTTTCTTCTGCACCACATAATCTATGCTATGATTTATTGTTTTAACTTAATTTTCTTCGTGGAAACAAAACCTGAACCTACTTGATGGAGTTTGGCTAGGTTTCCTTTCTCCTTCTTAACCTGAGTTAATGCTGCTTCATGCTTTGAGATCAGACCATCTTTCTCTTGGTGTATGCGCTGCAAGTAGACAAATAAGAATAACGCCTTGAACTCGTCCGTGTCGTAAAAATGGACTTTAACTTTTGATTGACCATAACTTCTTTGATAAGCACAAAACTGAAACATAATCATTTTATGGGGACATTAAATATAGCCCACGGAAAAGAGCTGCTTATCCCTCAAATTAATGAAGACAAGATGAGAGAAACGAGCTTTCACATTAGGTCTTCACCAAACATTTCGAGATGAGTACCTTGAGTTGTGCTTATGGTACACAGGAACTTCATATTTATATATTCTAGCTGTTAATAAACTAAATACAATTCTATTTTACCTGGAGTTGTGAAGTCAGATCTTTCTTCTCTTTCTCCAAGTCGAAGAATTTCCTTTGCATGGTCAAAACAAGGCTGTCACCTCTGCCCTCTGTTCGATCATGCGCCTATATATCACAGATAATAGTTTAAGAATATTATATCTATATCTCATGATTAAGAGTACTCAACTAAAAATGGACTTCTTTTAAATCATAACAACTTTATCATATATGAAAGTCATATAAATGATTTAAAAAATAATACCTTTGGTGTGGTGAAGTTAAAGCCGCTCTTCCGAGAGAACTCTGTAGTATTGTGATGTGTCTAGAGTTGATTAACAAAAAAGAGCATTTAAGATTTGTATCCATCTTACATGTTCTGAGATGATTTCCCTAATCAAGCCTTTCCCTCTCTAAAGCCCCCCCCCCCCATAAAAAACAAATCTTTTTCACACACGATTTCATTTTCAGTTGTCATTGTTTCTATCGACTCCTTTCTAACTCTATCTATCATTCAATCCCCTCCCCCCCCCCCCCATTCTCTCTCTCTCTCTCTCTCTCTCTCTCTCTCTTTCTTTCAAACAAGTTCCCTTCAAAGAGCTTTTTATTTTGTATACATATCATCCTGGAACGATTGAATTAATTGATGTTAAATGGTACCTTAAGGTTTGTCTCCAGTTCTTGTTTCTGTTTCTGCAAGATGGCGATTTCTTTCTCCAGCTCCAAGATCTGATTGTCCTTCTTGGGTTCGCTGGTTTGTAGATTCTATTAATAAAATATCGGTAAATTAAAACTTAAGCAATAATACTTCGTGTTGTTTTTTTCTTTTATAATCAATTTCTAATTTGTATTTATTTCTTCAAAAGGGGGAAATTTATTTTGTAAAATATAGTAAAATACCTTCAATCCTACAATCGCGTCATCCTTCTGAACTTTCATTTCTCCCAGTTCCAGTTTCAGAGACAAGACTTGAGCGTTTGCCTGAAATTCAGCTGTTCGGAGGCTCTGAAAAAGAATAAAAAGTCATCTTTAAAATTATTGCAGATAGGGATTTGTGTGTATGAAATGAGATACTGACTTTAAAGAAAATATAACAAAAGGATTTTAATTTGCGTTTGTTTACCTCAATTTTTGATTCCAGTTCCTTCTTATGTTGCTCCCAATCGGCAACATCTTCGACCTTAGCATCATCTAGGGCCTGAGGGTTAGAATATACAGATATGTACTGTCAATTGGTCTATATTGCCTTATTCTTTAATACTACAAACAAAATGTTTACTCGCACACCTTAAAAACTGGATCAAATTCGGATAGCATTAGAAATAATGTTATTGATTATTACAAACTATTTTTACCATCAGTCATGTTTGGATTTCAGAGCAAAAAAAAATGTTGCTCTTGACAGTATTGCCTTGATGACGTATGATTGTATACATTTTATGCTGACTGTTTGTAATCAGTTAATGAGAAAGTTCTCATACTTTGATCTGTAGACTAAGGAAATGGTTGAGCTAGGTATTTTAATATCTAAAGTTTTCATACTTTGATCTGTAGATTGAGAAACTGGTTGAGTTGTTTGGTATCATCCAGCTCTGATTGAAGGTTCGTAACAACCTCTCCGGCTTCCTCGTAGCGCTGAAGCAAACCCTGAAGAAGAAAAAAATGATTATTATAAACTTTAACATAATTTAATTGAGGTAACCATAGACTGTTTGGCTTCATTCAGTCATTTAGCTTCAATATTAAAGTCGACACATAGAGTAAATATTTTTTTTAAGATTCATTTTGATACGTTTCCTGAGAAGTAATTTAATTTAAAGTATTTGTAGATGAATTCTTAGCCTCCGATATTTTTTTTTATTAATGTAGCATCTTATTTTTTATGGATGAAACTACTTCAGTATATATCTTTACAGGATTTTCTTCGATTCGTTGTGCAAATGGAATACTGTTGTATAGGGTTTTT